ACTGTGTATCTTGAAGTCTTTTACAAACCCAAACCCACTCCTTAGATTTCAGCCTGGAAATACCCCCAATTTAAAGAGTTTTAAATCCACCTCTCTACAGTTTTGGCACAACATGAACAGCTTTATGAGCAGGCTACTCCTTCACTGTTCTCTCCTCCTTTTTGGCTTGATCTCCCAGTAGCTGAGGGCTGTGAATTTGCTCTGGATTGTGCTGGATTGTGGGTCCTGAAAGTGATGATTTAGCCGTGGAGACTGAGGCTGGAAGAGAGCAAACAGAGGTTCCTGTGACAGGGGAAGATGGTCTCACCTGGCTGATCAAGAGAAATACATGGATTACTCCTGGACTTTGGAGTCAGCTCCATCTCCCAGCAAGGCAGAGGGACCCACAGTGAAAAATGCTGTTCAGGGATCCCTGGAGTCACCTGGAGCTCTCCCCTCTCATCTCCTGCTCTTGATGGGATGTGCAGACACGACTGACAGCATAGCCAGGCTGATGTAACATAATTTAAGTACGTTTCTGAAAAGAATCTGCAAGGATTCACCTCACTGCTGCCTGCCTGAGGTGTTGTATTTATGTATTTTGAGCATAATCTGTAAGCACTGTAATACTGTAAATCTTTACCCATGTTAAAAGCAGGCACTGAAATGTATTCACTGTGCTTTCCAAAAATCAGGTGATGTACTGGATTTATTATTTTTTATTTATATTTACCTTGAGGAGCTGCCACTGTGCTATTTAAGACTTTGCATTTCACAAAACAATTGCAATTTTGCAATTCCCAAGGGGAATGAGCTGGAAGTTAAGTGACCAACTTGCTTCTGACTGTTGCAGATTTGTTTAATCCATATGTCAAATCTTCACTGAAAATCATTAGTATTGATCTGCCATTACAAAGCACTCTGAGATATTCAGGTCAAATACTTCAGCTAAGCAAAATTTTGCTCCCTCTCTCTTCCTTCATTTGTCCTTTCCCAATTAATCAGTTTAAGGCTGGACTCCATCCAAGAGAAGCTTTGGCTGATATCTCACTTGTGCTTTGTGATATCTGCATTGTGCTTTCCATAGCCTGCAGTATTTCTGCATTTATTGACATTGTTCACCTTGTTTGGTTTTTTGGTCTTGTTTGCTTTGAAAGGTAAAATCTCTGTCTGGGAGAAGCCTTAGCTACAAAAGGAAAATTGCTCATCACAGGTGTAAGTAACTGAGTCTGTATCTATAATTCTCATACACTGGAAAATGGAAAAATGCAGCTGCAGTGGAAAGTGGGGAAAGGCCAGCAGGTGATGTTTCTTTTAATTCTTGGTTGCCACTTACTTTTGGCTTGTCTATCAGCTATTGAGCACTGCAGGATGAAAAACTGCGTTTTCTACTAAAATTTAGTTCCTTGTTTTTTTGGTTTTTTTTTTTCTTTTGGCACAGGAGACTCAAATAGATCTTGATACATACCCCAAATCCTGAATTAAAGAACAAATGTCCTGGGAAACAGTGTCTTGGGGGGTTCCTGTGGGTTCTTACTGCCTCAAGTGCTCCTTTGAACATTCCTGCCATTGTGCACTTTGTTCTGTGCCCTGATGGGCCAGCTGGAGAATTTAAGAGTGTGTAGAGAACTGGAATGAAAAGATTATCAAAAGCCAATCTTTCAGTTTTACTGCTCCCTCTGAGCCCTTGCCTGAGTTAACTGGAGGCAATAAAGCACAACTCAGTGTCTCTCTGAGGCAAAACCCTCAGCCCTTTCAGTTTTGGGATGGGCTGTGACAGGAACAGTGAGGGAGGTGATGCCTGGAGAGGCTGCCTGGAACAGAGGCTGGACAGAGTTAAAGGAATAAAGCAGGGATTTATTAAAAGGCCTTCAAAGGATTCACCTTGGGCAGTGCAAGAGCCTGGATGTGGCTACAGCCAAGATGGACCCAAGATAGAAGGTGTGTCATGTTATATTCACACTTTTATAAGTTTTGATCCATTTCAATACTGGGGTTAACTGTCCAATTCCAGCTCCAGGTTCTGCAGTCCCATCCTCCCAGGTTCTCTCCTCAATTCTCTGCTGTTTGCACTTTTTGGGGCTGAAGCTGCAGCGGTGTCCTTGGTTGTGGGGCTGGAAAAGGATTGTTTGGTGTGACTGAGCTGGGAGGAGAATTTGCTGACACTTTATATGGAGTTCATTCTCACACACCAATGCAGTCCAGAGTCTGGAAAATATGAAAGCTAAAACTTAAAGCATCAGAGGAAGTGTTCAAAGTCTCACCAAGTCCTCTGCATCCAAGGGAATCTGATCCATGAGGCTGACCAACATTTGGGAGGATGTGGAGCAGACCTAAGCTGTGCAGGAGTGGGAGAAACTTTTTCTCTTTAAACTCCAGAGTTACTGAGTGACTTTTAACTTCTGCTAAAAGCCTGTAAAGATACTCTGCCCTTTCAGAGATCTTTATCCCTGAAGAAAAGAGATTTCCTCATCCCTGGAGTGTGATAGGTGACACCTTAACATTTCAGAATATTTGGCTGAAACATGTTCATTCACCAGAACTAGGCAGGAGCTTGGAACACAAGTTGGTCACAAAGCTTGGAACAGAACTCAAAATTCTGGATCTGCTCTTAGGACAGCACTGTGTCTAAGCCTGGCTGAAGCTCCATAATGGATTTTGATGCTTTAAATTGTAAGTGGGGGCTACATGTGAAAGGAATGGGCTCTTCTGTCCAGGGCATATATTCATTCCTTTGTATTGACATTCAGATTTTGGTTAAAAACTTTGGTGAAGAAAGCAAATCCAGCCACATGAAACAAGCTCAGGTCTCCAGAGAGCCTGGCCAGGGCTGGGACTGGCACGAGGGGAATGGCAGCAACACTCCATGGGAGATGGGGCACAGCTGCCCTCCTGGGAGCAGCCTCATTTTGGGTTGATTTCAAGCCATCAAGAATCTGCAAGCACTGTGAGAACCCACATCAATTGTTTTGGGTCACTTCTGAGGGATTTGCCTCGTGGCTTTTGGCTGTCAGTCTGTTTTTGGGATAGAAACAGGCACTTATCAGCCCTTTGTTTTTATTAATAGATGGAATTAAATAGGTTCAAAATTATACTGGCTTAAAATTTTTGTCTCTGACCTGTTTATAATTACTTCTCTTCTTAATTTTCAGGAAAACAATTTGCTCCCCAAAAAAGGCTTGAGTGACTGAAAAATCATGGATGTGAATCTTTCTGAAAAAATGAATTGATAGCACAGTGAGCATTGTTACTGCTGAGTTTTAGTTTGCAGGACTACTTTTCACAATTTTTTTACCCAAACCTAGCTATAATCCTAAACTAGGAGACCAGATTAGCCAGGAGTCATGTGGGGATATTGAGGTGAAATCTTGTAGCTTGTCTTTTGCAAGTCAGGTGTATTTATCAGTGATCTCCTCTGGACTAAAAAAGTACATGAATCCCAAAAAAAGTACAAAATTCCCAAGTGAAGGTGTAGCATGGTTCTTCTTTGGGATGTGACTTTATTTGTACAGAGGGAGAGGGAAAAACATGGTTGGGAATTGCAGAGGTACTTCATGTTGTGATTTTAAGAACTGAGAATCCCTAATTCCCTCAGCTTTTCAATTTATTGATCTTTGAAGTAACATGAAGGCTCTGACTGAAAAAAGTGAATGCCAAGGTGAGGGTGGGTGGTGACTTCTAAAGCCTAATAAAACTGAGGTGAGTTTTTTTGCTGGTGCCATTCAGGATCTTTCATAAGCTTTTGGGGAAATGGGAATAAGTCTTCATTTTTTAATTTTTTTTTTACAGCAAACTTGGAGTGCAATTGGAATTACAATAGGTTAAAACTGGTGAAAAGTAAGTTTGTTGGAAAATCAAAATTCCTGCCCAGTTATCTAGACATAAATACATTAAGTCCATGTTAAAACTAATCTGCTTTCAGTTAAGAACTATTGGATTCAGAAGTAGAGTATGTGAATTATATGACTAATGAAGTGTACTATTTCAAGACATTATATCTTGTTTAAAATATTAATTTTATTGAACTTAAAGGTTTTCCATTTTTCCAGCAGTGACCTTGCAAACTGTTAGGATGTGACCAGCGACTCTCAAAAGCACAGCTCGTATTTGAAAAAAACAAACCATAACCAAACCCAAGAAATACCAATCCCATTTAAATCTTGTTTTTTCTACTGATCTTCTAACAGGTTAATTACTTACAAGCATTTGCTGCTCATTGTATCCTTCACTCCTTGTTCCCTCTTCTCTTAAACTTCACATTGCCACTGGGTGAATAAATTTTCCACCTTTCTTCCTCCTTGGACAGGAGCAGCAGCACGAAGAGGCTTTTCTAGCAAGAATTCAACTTTGTGTGTTGTGCAGCTGGGCCATCCCGGTGCTCCCCTGACCCAGTGCAGCCTGTGTTCCCTGCCAGCAGCCCTTGGCTCCTGTAAAAACCCCTCAGAGCCAGCAGAAACAGCAACTGGAGGGGGATTGAGGATGAGGATTATCGATATTCTTTGCTTTCTCTTGGGTTTAAACTTATTTGGATGTGTGCATGATTATTTTTTAATGTTTTTAATGGCAAGGAGCAGCTGTGCACGTTTCTACAGCACGGAGCACAATTTGGTTTACAAGCATTTCAGTGTCCCAGGGCACAGCACAAGAAGGGACAGCCCAGGCTGACTAGCATTGACTAATGCCATGATTTTGGGGCCAGCAGGAACAGGCTCTGCCTGCTAAAACACAGCTGGGACAGCCAGGGATTGAATGGATTTGGTTTTCTTACTGCACAGGTTTGGGACACTGAGCCAGCTTTGCACTGAGATTCAGAACAAAGGAGGGGGTGGAGATCAAATCATAAGATTTAATCTTTACCTGTGGTCAGGGGGGGTGCTGGTCAGGAGTGGGTCAGGAATGGGTCAGGGATGGTGCTGGTCAGGGATGGGTCAGGAATGGGTCAGGAATGGGTCAGGGATGGTGCTGGTCAGGGATGATGCTGGTCAGGGATGGGTCAGGGATGGGTCAGGGATGGGTCAGGGATGGTGCTGGCCAGGGATGGGTCAGGAATGGGTCAGGGATGATGCTGCTCAGGGATGGGTCAGGGATGGATCAGGGATGATGCTGGCCAGGGATGGGTCAGGGATGGGTCAGGGATGGTGCTGGTCAGGGATGGTGCTGCTCAGGAGTCATGCTGGCAGAGCTACCTGTCAAAGCTGCCAGTTTTAGGAGCAAGAGCAGCTCCCCAGTGATGGTGAGGGGTGCCTCTGTCTGCACAGAGGATAAAGGAAACAGCTTCAGGAGAACTAGAAATAGGTAGCAGGAGAGGAGAACACAGAATAATAGGACAAGAAAGCCTCCCCCCTTCTGTTCTGCCACCCCAGGTAAGGTGCAGCTTGTACAGAATGTGCCCCTCTGTGCTTTTTCTGTCTGACCTCTTTGATGCTGCACAGAAAGGGATGCCTCTCTGAGAAATTGGAACGTGCTGATTGTTTCTCCATCTGCCCCTAGGCAGGATGATTCTATTCCACATCAGTGGCTCGAGCAGCATCACTCACAACTACAGAAATTGTTTATTCTTGTTTTTGTGCCATCCTGTTGTGGTGGATGAGCGCAGAGCTCTGCTGTACATAGGAACTGCTTTGGGAGTCTGGAGGGTTTGTTTTGTCCCTGCAAAATACAAATGAATCCCTGAAGGAAACCAGCTTTCAAAAGTTTTTTATTAGACCTGAAATCATGTTGGTGATACAGGTTTCAGAAGTTGTAGAAATTGAGATTTCCTCAGGACTCTTAGGGAAACTGCTACAAAATAAATTCTGTATCTATAACAGAAAAAACCCAACTGCACTGCAACTCAAAATTTTTAGGACAGGGTTTATATTCAGTTCTCATAAAACTGAATATTCATAATAAAAGCTGGGGTTTGTTATCCTTTGACGGGCAGGGGAAAGAATGAAAAACTAGAATTGAAGAAACACATAAATGATTGTTGGGGTGGTCACTGATGGTGGATTGGGGGGGATTGTTATTGGGAACCCCTTGGCCAAGCAATAAAACACTGAGCACGCTGCCAACAACATGATAAACTTGTGGTGTGTTTCTCAGGTTGCTAATACTGGTTAAACATAAAGTGTGCAGGAAATAGAAAGTGTTGCCTCCTCAAAAGCTGTAGAAATTGTTGAATTTCTGTAAATAGTAACTGATATTCTCTTGATGTGAGTTCTGTTTCCATGTGTAGATCTGCCTGGGTAAGTGCTGCTAGCAAAGCATGCAATGAATGATAAATGAAATCAATGGTAAATTCATTTTGCCTCAAAAAAAAAAATTTCAGGGAGGATTTCAGTATTTTGCAGCAAAGACTGCAGTGATGGTGTGTAGAAGAACCATGCTCTATTAAATTTGTGGAGGTAATTAGTGGAGGTAAGTGCTTTGTGGCTGGATTAATGAGTAACTTCTCCTTCAAGGAGTTGTTTTTGCCCTGCAGTGCAGGCTTTGGGGCTGATTTCCCTCTCTGTGCCACAAACTCTGTGATTTCACCCAGCCCCAGGATGTGCCTTTCCCCCAGCGAGCTGCTGGGGCTGGTGTGTGCCACAGGGCTCTGTGCTGTGCCAGCTGCTCTTCAGGAAGGTGGGAGGGAAATTTCACTTCTTCTTCAGCACTTCTAGGTCCTGCTGGTTCTGCTCTAAGGCAGTGACAAGCTTGGGAGGCAGTGCTGAAATCAAGGAGATTTCACCCTCTAAGTTCTCTATAGGAAAGTTTTCTTTCCATGAGTAATTCTTACGAATTTTCCCTAATTCCTTGATGATTCAGAGTAAATAATGTTAAGCGTGATTTATGATTAAATAAATGAAATTAAATGCTTTCAAATTTGCAGCAATGATTTATCATGATACCCATGGGGTACAAACAGAACTCAGTGGTTCCTCCCTTCTGTTGCCTTATATCTTAAAATCCAGAGTATTCTTTTTTTGGAACAAGTAATGATAGCAATTGTTCCTGTTTCCTTCATGAAGATTTATTAATGTATAGAAAACAGGAATGGAAACCAGCAGCCTGTAAAGCAGTCAGGAATCTCTTGGGATTAAAAACTGCAAAGCATAGGGACTTTTAGAGTTTGTCAAAACACAGATAGTAAGAGTTTGTATAATATTAATAAAAAAATTAACTTATCACTTTTAAACTAATCTTGCATAGGAGGATAGAATTATTCAATGCTGAAAGAAAAACTAAATTCTTATTTTGTGAATGCGATTTATTTATTTATTTATTTATTTATTTATTTGTTCCCATTTGCCAAGTACCAAATTTTTTCTGGTAAAACATATATAATTTTTTCTTTTTAAATTTTGTCTCTGTTTCCTCTTTCCCCTGTCTTTGTTTCTTTGCTCAAGGGGTAAAAAGGTGTGTGGAGTGATAATTAGGGAAGAATTGAAAAAATCAGATAAATGAACACTCATTTCTGTAGAGAGCCTTTTTTATTTAAAAGGTGGTGTGAGTAGCAGTGTGCCAGCATAATTGTGTCACTGTAATCACTGTAATCATGCTAATCCTGAGGTGGCAGCAAATCCCTTTTCTGTAGATATTGGATTCACTTGGTAGGTTGGAGAATTCCACATTTCCCAGACAATTTGTACAAGTGCTGGTCCTCCATCCTTTGAATGCACCCTCCAATCTGCCAGAACAACAACAAAATGCTCCATGATTGTGGATGGTACATTTTTCACAATGGAGAGTTGAACAGAATTTATAGTAAAATCTATTAGAGGTGTGCTTTCAATCAGTTTTCATTGAAGTGTTCATCTTTAAGGAAAAAAAAAAGATAAAATTGTGGCCACTGTTGGGTTTGGGAAGTGCATTACAAAGAATTCCTCTTTTACAATTTGCTGCTTGGCAGAACTGGTTGCTTCCCTTCTGTCTTCCTTAAAATACAACCAAATGAACAATTATCACTGCAGATAATTGTTTCTATAAATATTTTATTTTAAAAACACATAAAGATTATCAGCTTCACTCAGCCAAGGCAGATGATGATAACAGTGAGTTAAGAAGTAAATCTGGCATTGTTATAGATGTTCTGGAGAAATCCAGCCACTGTTGTTGGTCTATTGTGTATTGTGCATTTTGATTCTTTGTCAAAAGTATTTTACAGTACAAATGCTGGGTGTAAAGAGATTTCTGAAATTGATAATGAAACAGTGATTTAGTTCCAAAATAATTCCAAAACTTGTTTGAAAGAGAGTATCTGCACATGTTTTTCTTAGCTCAGTTTAGCTTTAGCCTGAGCAGTTTGTATCAGGAATTACAAGATCTGTTTCCTGACACGGCAGAGAATTCTGGACCAGGCCATGCCTTCCAATCCTGTGTTACCAAAACAGAAGCAAAACTTGAATCCAGAATGAATCCTTCCTTCTTTTCCCTCTCAAACCCTAAGTGTGGGCAGAAAGTGCAAGAGCCCAGCCCATGGAGTTATTTTGTCCTTTTCTCTCGGATTGTGGGGGAACACCAGGTGAAGCAAAGCTCACATCCATGGCAGGTTTGTACAACAAAATGTGGATTTATCTGCAGAACAAAGCCCTGGACAAGCAAAGGCTTTGGGGTGATCTCATTGCAGCCTTCCAGCACCTGAAGGGAGCCTACAGGAGAGTTGGAGAGCAGCTTTTTACCAGAGCATGGAGGAGAGGACCAGAGGGAATGGCCTCAAGCTGAAAGGGAATAGGTTTGGATTGGATATTAGGAAAAAATCCTCTACTGTGAGGGTGGTGAGACACAGGGTGCCCAGAGAAGCTGTGGCTGCCCCATCCCTGGAAGTGCCCAAGGCCAGGTTGGATGGGGCTCTGAGAAAATTCCACTGGAAGGGCAGGGAGGATTGGATCTTTAGGTGTCCTCCAAGCCAAGCCTTTGTATAATGATGTATTGTTGAACTCCAGCCTGCTTTCAAGGAAAGCAATGAAACAGGTGGAGAGGACTCAGAGCCCCTCCTGCTTCCTGGTAAACCTTTGTTTATGATTTTTGTTTTGTTTACAACTCTTTCTGGAAGAGTATGTGTAGATGAGTCCGTAAATGGGGGAAACTGCTCAGAAATAGGGCACAGGACACCACCCCGAGTCCCTGGCTACTGCCAGGCAGCCTTGATTTGCAGTGCTCCCAAAATTCTCATCCAGCCACTCACCTTCACAGCCTGAGTGCCTCGGGGACTGGGCATTTATTACCCATGTGCTGCTTTGCTCCAGGCCCCAAGGCACAGCTGAGGGGAGAACAGCAAGGTTTAGGATCTGTTAGACTCAGGGATGCTGAGAATGCCATGGAAGTGTGTGTGCTGGTGTAACAGGGTGGTGGTTTTTGCACCACCTAATAAGTGGTTTGTCTGAAGTTTCTTCTGTTTTCAATCAGAGCCAGGATTAAAACACACAAAGGAAACAGATTTTTTCATATTCGGGCTTGGTTCTTTATTAAATCTTATCTAAAGTACAGAGAGTTCAGCAACACTTCCAGCTACCAGCTAGAAGTGAGCAAAATGGAGACAAATCCAGCTGCTATAAGGTCTCTTAAAGCTAAACAATCCAACAGAGAACTAACACCTATATTATTGATACTTTTGACCCAATAACCAAACTCCTGTGACCCACAGTGCAGCACTGACTGTCCAACCAGAAACTACTGCCTGAAATTGTGAAGAAGAAGGAAGAAGACAGAAAGAGACACCACCCAAAATCCTCCATCTTGTCCCATACCTATTACTGTATTATAAAACCCTCAAACTTAAAACCCTTCACCATGTGAAATGACACACTTCTATTTAACTACACACCCGTGATTTTAACTCCATCACTCGAATTTGGAGCCTTCTCCAAGGCCTCAGGTCCAAAGCAGTGCTCTGCTGGGGGTCAGTGCCAGAAAGCACAGAAAGCTCACAAACCCAGATTTCTGGGATCCAACATGCTGGGAATGCAGCACATGCTTTGGCTGTGTGACTCCCCACAGAGTACCTGGGTGTGCTCTCCCTGCTCTTCCCCAAAGGCAGTCAGAGCAGACACAAAGATTTTTTTTTTTTTTAATTGGGAGTGTCTTTTTTAAATGCTGCAGGTTTCCCTGAAGAGAAGGCAAAAGCGTTTCTGTGGAGGCAGCATTGTTTCTGCTCAGTGGGTGGTCACAGCAGCTCACTGCACCCTGGACAGGTATGGATGGATCTTTCAGGAGCAGGAAAACATGGATTGGAAATGTGTGTGTGCTGGAGCATTCTTTGTGCTTACTTACAGGTGCTATCCTTTTATTTCTGTTCATTATTTTCCATACTTTAACAGAAAGGGAGAAAAAACCCTTTGAACACCTCAAAATAATTAATAAATGAACGTACAGAGATTGACAAAGACTGATTTTGGAAGTCTATGTTAAAAAACTAGTTTGAAGCAGAATAAGAAGTTTATACTCGTTGTTTTTGTGTTCCCTTGCTGCACACCTGGTCTGGTACCAGGACCCCTAAAGCAGGATTCACTGTGGTTTTATGGTTTTTAAAAAATATACTCAAGATCCTAGAGAGATAATTTTATTTATTCTGTACTTCTGTACCAAATCTTCTCTCCTCCTTCAAAAAGCAATGTGGCTAAACACTTTTAAACACAGTAAGAGGAACTGGTTCCTTTTGGACCACCAAACCATGGTCAGGTCTGTAGCAAAAGGATTTTTCTTCTCAGTCCTTTTCATCTCCCAATGCCTACTACAGGGCTTACTCAGCTTGTGTTGACTGTACATCTTAGATGCTCTAAAACCTGCAGATGAAAAGTATTGGGTATCAGAAATATCTTTGCATGCAGAAGATGAATGGTCAATATGAGATTATTTTACAGATTCCACAAAAATAATAACATTTTCCTTTTTTGTTAAAAACCCTCCAACATTTCTAAAGGGAGCTTTTTGTAATTGTTCTTTCAGATACTTACCAATAAAATTCATGTCCCTGTGTGGCAGGTGCATCAATTTTCCCAGCATGTCTTCCTCAGCCAGGTGAAAAGTTTGATGCAGGATATATCTGCACTGCTTGTGGCTGGGGCCATTTAAAGGAAAGTAAGCCACTCATGTTATTATTTATTTTCTGAAACTTGATTGCACAGGTCAGAGCCAGACCAAAAGTAACTTTCAACTGGCCTTAAGAACTGTAATCTCAAAATGGGATTTTGCTTCTTTGCCTACCTGTCAATTACTTCAAAATGAGTAATCACAAAATCTAGACCTGCATTTGAATTTTCAAACATTCTGGAATTTGTTCAAGTTTGCATACAAAAACCTGAATGTTTGCCAAAACATGCTTGTAACCATAACATGTCTTGGAGCAAGGTTCCAACAGATTTTGGTGGTGTGTTACCAGTGACATTGTTTACCTTCCAGCTTTTTTTTCTTATGAACACTGGTTTGTGTTTCAGATGGACTAATCCCTCAGGTCTTGCATAAGGTCAATCTCCCAATCCTAAACAGCAGAGAGTGTTCAACAGCACTGTCAACTTTGAAGAAACCCATCCAGGGTGACACCATAATGTGTGCTGGATCTCCAGATGGAGGAAGAGATACCTGCCAGGTGAGCTGAACACAGGGCCCTGTGTGCCCAGGAGTGTTTCTCAGCACCTCTGAGCCAAAGTAAACAAATTCACTCTAAACTGGGAGGTTTGGGTGTAAGAATTGTTTCAAAAGTTCCTGATGGGGCAATGCACTTAATGACATGATTCCATATTAATTATTGTATGGGTTGTAGGACAGGTTCCTGAGGGCAATTTTGCAATGTACCCCAGTGCAATATTGCTTAGGGCTTTCTAACTTCAGATCACTTGATAAATTATTTACTGTTGGAAGGATTCTGAGGACAAAAGTAGAAAGAACTGGATTACAGGAAGGAAAGGAAGTGGGATAAAGGTGAAGTGATTGTTCCTCACTCCTTTTTTATGTGCTCAAGCATGTCAGAGATGCACCCATGAGGGAATTAATGTCTCTCCCCTTCTTGGTGATCCTGACTAAACACCCCAAAACCACGTGTCCTCACAGATCTTTTAAAAAAAATTGTCCCCTGTGTTGCAGGTTTTCAGTAAAGCATGAAAGAAACCTCAATAAACCCTTCAGGGCTTGCTCAGCTGTCCAAGCTCTGGGATTTTGCTGGGCTTTTTTCCAGGGAGACTCTGGAAGTTCCCTGTTGTGTCGGGGCCTGGACCCTTGCTGGTGTCATCTCCTGGGGGCTGGGATGTGCCCGTGGCTGGATGAGGAACAAGGAGAAGAAACATTCCAACAGAGGATCCCCAGGGATATTCACAGAGCTCAGCGTGGTGCTGCCCTGGGCTCAGGAGAACATGAGTGCTGGTAAATAAGACTCCACAGTAATGCATCCCTCACTTGTGACAAATTCTTTGTTTCTGAACATTTTATTCAATTTTAGCTTTTTTTCAGGATATAGCATTTGTATGATTTCCTGTCAAAGCACTGCAGCATTTCACAATCTCTTGAAGTGTGTGGTACTGACTGGCAGTTGTCAAAACCAAATTGAGAGCATTGTAAATGTTTGCTTTTCTTCCACTTTGCCTCCTATTTGGACTCTTTTTTGGTTTGTTTGTTTTTAAATACAAATGATCATTTTATGCAGCTAGACAGTTAGCATGTTTACTGGATCTTTATTTATTTTTTTAAGTGGTAATTCACCAGTTGGAAGTATCAGAGATTCCACGTGCACTTCTTTGAAGTCACTTGTCGCTTTTCTCAACTAAAACACATTGGATCAGACATCTGACAACATGGGGACAAGTCATGCTCTGAAGTGCCTTTGCTCACTCTTCTCCAAAGGCCATGCATTCCCTCTGTGTGCCTGTGAAATGTGCCTGTGACCATCAGGCACCACTGCCAAAGTCATGGAGCTGGAGATAAAAATGGCAGGGGTGAACTTCACTGAGTAATAAGAAACCAAATTGATATTTTCTTCTGTTTGGGCTAATTTTGTTACTGGGTTTTGGAGACTGTTAAAACTTACAAAGAAAAACTGAGGGAGGGTTATTTGGGAGGTTTAGCCAATGAGAGAAAAAAAACATTGGGAGGGGAAAAAAGAAACAAGTTCCTATTAGAAACAATCTTCAACTGGTGATTCAAAGAAGGAACCCCCATAATGTGTCAGAGAAAAACAGAAAGGGTTGAGCTTCTGCAAAAGTTCTGCTCAGACTGAGTAGTGGCCTGTCAAACCATGGTAGTGGCTACTCCAGAACAGTTTATTCCAACGTCTGCACTGCCTGAACTTGCAATTTTGTTTTGATTCCAAGCCCTAGTTGATTGTAGGCACTGTGTCCCCAAAAAAGCACTGGGATTTGCCTCACTGCCAGCTGTACAAAATTGCCATTTCACATGGACAAAAGTAAATTGTGACTATGAAACGACAGTAATTTATTCTTCTTTTTCCTCCCCCTTCCCTGTCCCTCCCTTATTAGATCTGAAAGTGAAAAGCTCCACAGGTGTGTACATTACTTATCCCCAGTGTCTTCTATTTGTGTTAGAGCATAAAAAGACCCCCCCAAATAGTTGTTTATATAATTTATAAATGAAGAAACCTTTTTGAAAACAATTTTGCAAGTTTTTACTGATTTTACAGGATGCTGCAGGGAAATAATCTGATAAGTACTTGACTCCTTAAAATTGTGTTTACATAAATGTTGCTCTTACTGGGTTGCCTTGCAAGCAGAAGGCAGTGCAAGAGGAGATGATTTTTGTGGTGTTGTGTTTCTGCTGACACTTGGCTGAATAGGAAAACTTCTGCTTCTTCTGTTAAAGTAATTTTTACCAGCACATTGAACTGTCGCAAAAATCTCCTGCTGTAACATAACCGAGGGCATCATTACAGATGGGCTGCCATGAACACTTTTTTTATGCTCTGGGGTATCCATTTTTCCCTCACAGAAAATTATTTGTACTGAAATCTTCGTGTAGCCAAGAGTTTCTTTTAAGGTAAAAAACAAGCACTGCCATTTTTACAAAAAAAAAAATGAGGACCCATTGGCAGGGCTTCATTCTTGCTCCCAGATGATGGGGTTTAAAGGTGATTTACCATAATTCCAAATAAAAGAGAGAAGGCACAGCATCAGTCTGCCAGCAGAAACTAAGTGCAGCTGGGCAATCCTGTCTCACAATATCCTCCAGATGTTTGAGATTTTTGGTGGAACAGCTGATTGCATATGTGTCAAACCTAATTCCTTCCATTGTGTTTTAACTCACAGCGTTTTGTAGTGTTCAGGATGGCAAACTCTGCAACAGAGAGGGGGAATTACATTTTCCTGGAAGGCCTGGACAGTTCTATCAAAACCACCAGTAAATAGAGAAAACACAGCCTTCCCCTAGAGAAAATTCCCCATGCAGGTGTAAGTTTAGAGGTGGTTTTGGTTGCATTTTTAAGAATTTCATTATTCCAGATTGTGTATATGGACTCTGTTTGTGCCAGAAGGGAATTACATATGGCTTCATTTCTCCCAGTTTGATGTAGAGCCAGAAGTGTCCTGTGACTACAATTCTTTACCAGTCTATTCAAAAGATGACAGACTCGTGGGTGAGTTTTTGTCCCCTTGTTCTTTGAAACAATCATTCAGGTTGGAAAAGACCTTTAAAATCCATAACCTGTCAGAGCACTCTTTATTCTAACAGCATGTGCACCCTGTGAGGATGTGGTGGTTGGTGGTTTCACTTGCATTTGCTTGATTGAGACAGAGGATGTGAAATAAAAGAATAAAAGCGTGGGAGGTGAAGAGATTGGAAAGTGCCAATGGTAGGGAACTGTATCACATTTCTGGTGTCAATGATTTTCAATTTTTAATAGTGTGAAGCTATTTGGGCTAATGGATTAATAGGGAAAGTAGAGGGATGAATAGGAATTTTCCTTTTCATCCTAAAATTTGTATAGCTAAGTATTAAAAATGGTACAAACAAGTTTTCTCAAGTAACTGAAGGCTTTACACTGTGATGATTTCTAATGTTATTTTTCAGGGAAATTCTGTGGAGGAGATCTTCCATTACCTATTTTGATTGGTTCCAATAGCATAAAGCTGAAATTTGTTTCTGATGAAGAGGATTATGGAACTGGTTTTTCCATTACTTACAAAGCTCTTACACCAGATATTCTTCCTGGTAATTTTAAGCCAAGTAATGTGCCTGCCTACACTCTGAGGTGGGGACCTGGGAAAAAAGTCAGGAGAAAATAAACCAGGGGAAGCTCCTGTGGTATTTCTCTGTGGATGATGCTTTTGGGGGGGGGGGGGCTTGATGGAGGCAGCTGAGGCTAAAATCACATCATGGAGAATTGCTTTGGGTTTTGCTGTGCACAGTAGTTCACCATCCCTAAGGATGGGCAGCACAAAGGACTCTTCAGTGAACTGGCTGGTCAGAATTATTTTGCTCTAGGAGATTCTCATCTAACAAATTGTTTCAGTGAAAAAAAAAAAAGGATTGTGAACATCTTCAGGCATTAAACAAAGGCCCAATGAATGGTGAAGACAAACAATGAATCTGGCCAAAACCTGAGACTTGTGTTTGTGGTGCATTTTAAATAGCACTTTAATATCATAATAGCACAGATCCCTGCAACAGAAATCTGTTTCTTCTACAAAAAGAAATAAGGAAATAAAAGTTATTCTATAATACAAATATTACTCAAGACATCCTGCTAACACGGTCACCACCCTCATTTCCTAGATATAAATATTTTGAATTCAACCAGAGAAGAAGATTTTGAAAACATGAATGTTACTGAAGAAGAAATAAAGGTTACAACAGGTAAGACAACCTCAGTTATGCTTCCTTCATGGGAATAGAGAATACCTTTTGGACTATAAATTCTCAAATACCTAATGGTTGCAGCTGGCCCAGACTTTTTAGCAATATATTTTGAGGAAATAAAAATATGCACAGTGACATTTACATGCGTTGGCTTTAGCAGAATCTAATTTTTCTCATTTCCTTCATCTTGCTAAGTCATGTACTACAATAACATTTCAGCTTGTATGTCAGTTTACACCTACTTGCTTTGGTGAAAACAATTTCAAAAGCTGCAGAGTAATTGAAAATAATAACCAGCATTTTAGAGCTGCCCTTTTCCCTCTAGTACTCTATGGTAAATGGGATGAATCCCTGCTCATTGTAGGTTTGAGGCTAAAACTTTTGAAAGTAAGTGGTGACTTTCATCTTGGTGAAGCTCTGTTTTTGCTGAGATCATCTCCTCATGGTGGTCTAAACATTTGGATCCTTTTTAATGAGGGAATTCGGAAGATTTAGCAGAAAAGGGAGAGGTGGAGCTTTAGAAGCTGTGGGGCTGCCTCTAACTGGGATGTTCTTTACTTCTCCCAGTCTTAACCTCTAAAGGCTTCTTGGAACATCAGTGCTTTGTGTTGCAGAGGATGTTTGTGGAATGCCTTCAAATCAGCCCAGGTTCCTCTTCAGCAGGATAACTGGGGGTGAAGAAGCTGTGCCCTACTCGTGGCCTTGGCAGGCCAGTGTAAAAACTGCAGACGAGCACATGTGTGGAGGAGCAGTCCTTGCCCAAGAATGGGTTGTCACAGCTGCCCACTGCCTTCATTGCAGGTGAGTGCACTGGGATGAGCCCATCCCTGGGAATGTGTGTCCCTGCAGCCTGCTGCTTCCAGACAGGGAGGCACAGGGCTGCTTACACCTCTTCCAGCTTATACTGCCTCTGGACTCTTCTGCTCCTCACACATGTGCTAGGAACACAGCAGGTTTTAAGATTCACAGGTTTCCTCGGCCTGACAATGAACATTTTTTTTCCTTAGGGAAGCATACAGAGACTTATGGATGGTGGTAACAGGACTTCATGATCTTACAGAGCAAGGGTACAGACAGGTACTGTGTGTTCTGCTTAGTAATGAAATACATATCAATCTTGCAAAATAGTTTTTAATGTAAATGCGATTCCCAAATTGTCCATGATGCAGCAATCCTGCACGCTGATCCTAATCTGTGTTTACACAACAGCTCTTGTGTGACTGTCAACACAGATCTGTGCCTCCACTGAGCTCTAGAGCTCAGTGTCCTGGAGGATGTGGGAGTGAGAGGTAGGTGTATTGTCTCTGTACTCACTGCTGACTGTCACCAAGACAGAAAGAATTAGGGCACAAGTTGCCACTTTGCTCACATGGGATAAACGTTTTCCCAAGACTCTCTTCCTACCCTTGCTGGATGGAGTTTTCTGCATGTTCCCTCTTCCATGTCACAGATGCATAATCTTGACTTGTTAATATCAGAAAGCTGGCTATTTCTGGAGCTGCTTTTAAAAGTGTTCTCTTCTTAAGGCATCTTGGAAATTCATAAAACCAAAGTTACTTAAAGCCTCACATTCCCAAGCCTTTCAGAAAATGTCGGTGTCTTTCCTTTCCTAGAAAAGGACAGTCAAGCAGCATTTGATACACCCCAGTTTTAACCAGACCACTCTGGACTCTGCTGCAGCTGCTGAGCCTCTGGAATTCAGCCCCTCCATGCTGCCAGTGTGCCTCCCTGCTGAGCAGGAGGTGCTGCAGCCCTCCAGGATGTGTGTGGTGGCAGGGTGGGGTGCACCTGAAGCAGGTATGCAGTCTTTGATTCTTGGGCATGTGTGGCTGTGTTTTGAGTACCACATTCTCTGCTGGAACAGTCCTTCTGTCTATATATTAGTTTTTGGAGAACAGATACCTTAAAAAGTTTTCACTTGTGTAAGCTCAGCTAGACATGAAGGGACATGGGTGGCAGGAGAGAAATCAGATAATTTAGATTGAAAAGGATTTGAAAAGGAGAGGAGTAAATTTTCCTTCTGGAACCACTAATTCATGCCTCTACTGGATGATGTGTTTTAATTCAAGACAGAGAAAAGGGGAAAAAACTGTAGCTGCTGGAAGTCCCTGTCCTGGCATCTGACATATGTCAGAGCTATTACATAAACCTTCCCAGTAAAGTGACCCAGGGGATGATGTGTGCAGGATTCCCTCTGGAGGAAGGCAAGGACTCATGCACAGTAAGTTACATCACCCCTGGGATATGGCCAGATGGGTTCTAGAAAGGGAAGTGTAAAACCTCCCAAAGCTGTTTTCTTGCAAACAGGCTGTGGTGATTTCCAGTGAAAGACTCCTCAGCAGTCAAATTTTAATTAACCATATTGCAAAAAGAGTTACTTCCCTTGAACAAAGGTTGTGTCTTCCTTTGTCTTTTAAAAATGAAAAACCCCAAGCACGTGAGCAGCTGGGACCTCTCCTTGCTGAACTGAGATTTTACAAACAGCAGGAGTGATGTTGGCTCATCTTTGTCCTTGTGCAGGGTCATTCTGGAGGCCCATTAGTTTGTCCTTCAGAGGATAACTCAGGGTTTTACACCCTCCATGGAATTACTAGCTGGGGCTTGGGATGTGGAAGAAAGAACTACCCAGGAATATACATCAATGTTGTTTTTTTTGTTGACTGGATCAAGAAGAATATTAATAGTAGTGGTATGTATGAAAAAACCCAAAACAAATTAATCATTTTGCTATTGTTAGATGATTAATTTGAGGTCTTTTCAAGGATGCCATTTTTATATCTGGGTGTTCAGCATTCCCTGAGATCTTGGCTGTTTAAAATATCCCTAGCTGAACTCCCAGAAAAGAAACAAACTTCAATCAGCAGTAACTTCTGAAAATCTTATTTCTTCCAATTGTATTATTATCATTATTCCACTCTCTACTGCATTTCTTGTGTGGGTGAATGTTTTCCATGCTGTGGCTTTGCAGCTTCTTTTCTCAGGGATGGGAGGAAGTAGAGGAGCATGAACTGACACATGGTGGCAGCTGAGTCCACTTTGACAAGTTTACAGCCTGTCTTTATTGATGATCTTTGTAATCAATTTTACCCTGTTTTATTTTTCTTCTTTCTCTCACATCTCCCCATTTTCATTGTGACAGTGTCAAAAGAACAGTTCTGATGGATCCCACTGTAAAACACTCCTAAAAGCACAAATGTCATTGAAAACAAAATTTGGTGGGAGCATGCAGGTTTTTGACTGATGAACAGATTCCAGAGCAGCTGATCCTTACCCTGGGGAATTCACTGCAGATTTACCTGAAGGGAGACTTTGACTTTGCACAAGTGTTGGAGCAGTCACAAGTTACCTGCAGGCTTCTGACACTGTTAATCCATCAAAAGAGGGAAAAAAAGCCACATGAGCCAAGCATGTCCTTGAATGTAGTGCTGGAGAGTATAAAAATACTGCAGGGTATTTTTAATACAGTTTCTGGTTTCACTAATTGTGTGGATTTTGAACAAAAGTGTCTGAAAAGACAGGTGTTACAGGCTAAGGGACCATGCAAGAACTGATAGCTATCCTAATTAATCTAGGCATTAACTTGTACAAATGAACATTTGTTTAATATCCAAAAGGCTGCTTATACAGAAATCTGTGGTCTCAGGCTCCAATTGGCTTTGCAGACCCTTCTGCTCTCAGCTTTAGTGTCCAAAACTAGATTAGTAGGATAGTGCAACAGGTAGCACAAGAATAATCCTCCTTTGAATCAATGGTCCAGATAACTAGAAGGCAAAATATCTCACTTAGTTTTTGTTGATATTAATGGCAAAAATATTTAGAGATTTTTTTTCCCCATACAAGCATTTGATGCCAGTAATCCTCCTTTTTTATTGTATTAGTTTTGAACTTTGGATCTTTGGGGTTTTTTTAACCTTTAATTTGATTCTGTAGCTAGGGAAACAGTAATTTCACTGAATTTATTCTCCAATGGATAAGGTAAACACATTTCACCACTTTCTTCTCTTCACTGTAAAGTTTGAGGCAAAAGCCAACATAATATTGAAAATAAGTTTTTTTTCGAAGCTATGAAAATACTTAACAGTGGAAGGGTTATGAGATTCAGTGATTCAGATTAACAGCTGTGTTGCATTATTGGTGTTCTATCTTTGCTAAACTCTCTGAAGAGAAATGGAGGGAAAATATCCTTTGTAAATTTTTATTATAGAAGCCTGTTAATGTTTGATTATGGGGAAGTTGTCATTAGCTGATTGTATCAGCTCATGCTGGGAGCAGATGTGTATTATCTCTTGCTGCTATTCTGTTTTGCTGAACAGGAGCACAGTGACTTTTACTTGTTTATTAGTTTAAGACAAGGATTTCAAGTGGAAAAGCAAAAAGTGTATGGGGGGAACTACAGGTGACATCAGCTGTGATGATATTGAATGCAGTGGTTATATACTGATAAATTGGTATCTCTTATGAAAATTCCTGTCTTCAATTCTGTCTTTAAATAATGTCTGGTTTTGATTTGATTGTTATAGCACTAACTTTTTGCTTGACTGCTTGATGTTGGCCTTTTGTGTTTCTTCTAGTATGATTTTACAAGGAGCTTAGTTTTGCTTTTGTTTCTCACATCTTTTTAGTCTCTTGTAAGGTGCCAGTACCTTTTAGCAACAATGTGAACTTTTTTCTGATGCAAATTAAATACTGATTTTAAAAAATAAAAAATAACTAAAAAAAAAATTTTAAAAAAGTTACATTCAACGGGGTTCATGTAATGGGATTCTGATTTAGATTTTAGGTGAGGATCTGTGACAGTAAGTTGTCCTGGTTAGCTGGAATGGTGTCCTGCTCTCTCTGTGTTCCTCTGCCTGTGGAGATAACACATTCTGTGCCTCTCCTGTCTCTCCTCCCACTGCAGGTCTGCCCAAAACACATGATAACCCCGTTCTCATTGCACCCTCTGTTTTCTTTCACCCTCCCTTTGTTTCCCTTGTTTCACTTTTGAAGAAGGCACACGAGGGCAGATTTATTTCTCATTTAAGAATCCATTTATTGCCATGCCTTGGGTGCACAGAAATACTGCTGTTTCTTCATCTGAAATGGCCAGTTCGACTTTGCTGCCCTTCCTTTTCTTTTTCTTGGCAGCAAGAATTGCTAAGCATGGCAATGTTGGAACCCTGAACCCTGGGAGTTTTGAGCTTTCTGTGCTTTCTGGCACTGACCCCCAGCAGAACACTGCTTTGGACCTGAGGCCTTGGAGAAGACTCCAAATTTGAGTGATGGAGTTGAAATCACTGATGTGTAGTTAAATAGAAGTGTGTGATTTCACATGGTGAAGGGTTTTAAATTTGAGGTTTTTATAATATAGTAATAGGTATGGGACAAGATGGAGGGTTTTGGGTGTTGTCTCTTTCTGTCTTCTTTCTTCTTCTTCATAATTTCAGGTAGAGTTTTTGGTTGGAGAGCTAGTGCTGCACTGTGGGTCACAAGTTTGGTTATTGGGTCAAAAGTATAAATATTATATGTGTTAGTTCTTTATTGGACTGTTTAGCTTTAAAAACCCTTATAATTAGCTAGATTCAGGGCCTCCATTTTACTCGCTTTTAGCTGGTAGCTAAAAGTGCTGCAGAACTCTGCACTTTAAGTAAGATTTAATAAATAATCAAGCCCGAACACGAGAAAATTCGTCTCCTTCGTGTTTTTAATCCTGACTCTTGAGTCAAGATAGAAGAAAATGAAGACAAGGCACTGCTTAAGTGGTGCAGTCAGCACACTCACACGGCACGGCGGGGTCACTGTCCCCGGCGGTGCTCGAGGAAAGGCTGCACATGGCACTCAGCGCCACGGGCTGGTGACACGGCGCTGTCCGGCCATAGGCTGGCCTCGGTCATCTCACAGCTCTTTCCCAACCTCATCGATTCTGTGAAATCAAGAATTTGCCTTCGGGGGCAGCCTGACCTGCCCGGGCCCAGGCGGAAACGGGAGGAGGAACGAGGAGGATCCTGAGGAGGAACCGGGAGGAGGAACCGGGAGGAGGATCCAGGAGGAGGATCCCGAGGAAGACGCGTGAGGCGGGAGCTGTGGGCGAGAGGCCGCCATGGAGGCGCTTGGGGTGAGGGGCTGGGGAGGGGACGGGGGCCGGGGCTGATCCGGGCCGTGCCCCCCTCACGGCCGCCGTGCCCCCCTCACGGCCGCCGTGCCCCCCTCACGGCCGCCGTGCCCCCCTCACGGCCGCCGTGCCCCCCTCACGGCCGCCGTGCCCTCATCGCCTGCCCTTCTCCTTCTCCTCCTCCTCACAGGGAGCTCCTGTGGCCATCGCCGTGGCCGTGGTGGCGGCGTCCGCCCTGCTGCTGCTGCTGCTGCGCGGGCCGGGGCGGAGGCCGAGCGGCCCGGTCACCCTGCAGGACCCGCTGGCCAAGTACCCGCTGCGGCTGCTGGACAAGGAGGTGCCCGGGGCTCTGGGGACTTGGGGCGTCGCGGGTCCGCTGCCCTCAGGGGCTCTTGGCCGTGGGATCGAAACCCCAGAGCCCTCCAAGGATGGCTGTGGCCCCCGCAGCCACCCTGTGATGCTCCCGGGGTAGAGCAGGGTGTGTAAAAGCGTTTGTGCCGCGCTGAGAGCTGTTGTTTGCCGATGCTTTGCATGCTGAAGCGCTGCTGGCCGTGTTCCTCCCTCGGTTCCTGCTCTGGGTGAGAAGCAAGCCCTGAGCTTCTGCACGCCCTGTGTTCTCTGATCTTTGGCCACGAGCATGGAATGTGCTCCCTGGCCCTGGGCACAGGGTTTCCTGGTTTTATCTATTTAAAGATGCTGTAGGGATTGTGCAGGCAAGGACAGGTCACTCCTTGTGGAGTAAACGGGAGAAAACTGTTTCTGAAACTCCTGGTTGTTCCAACTTTATTTTTCAAAGCCATTTCTGTGTCCTTTCCCAGCATTTGGCTTGCGTGCTAGCAAAGAGCAGGCTTGCTAAAGCATATTGTGTTGAGTAGAGTTTGAAATTCAAAATAGTGATGATGCTGACCTTGTTCTGATTTTGGTTTTTTAGGAAATCAGTCATGATACTAAGAAATTCAGATTTGGGCTACCCACAACGAATCATATATTAGGATTACCTGTAGGTAAGTACTGTAAACACTTAATTACTTATATTTCTGGTTTCTCACAGTTCTTGGACTTCTGACTGTGAGTTTAAGGCTCAGCAAAGCAAGGAATTGAAAGCTGCATCTAAATGCTGCTGTCTCAGAGAAATGTCATGTTTCCCAGAGGAAATGTTAGGTTGTGTTTCTGATCTTTTGTGAGTGCTTTGTCCAGCTGTGTGGTGTAGATTAGGAATGGAGCAGTGAAACTGAACTGAGCCTGATGGAATTCGTCACCAGTAAGGATATAAGCAAGAGTGGTGTCTGTCAAAGCTTTTTCATATTTCTTATTTGCATTCTGCTTCCATCTGGTCCCCTCAGTCTATTGGCAGTTGCCCTCATGGTTTTGGCAAATACAGTCACACTTGTAAAGGAGAGAGGAGACAACTCTGCTGCCGGGGAAGTCGCTGAAATATTCAGAGCCTTTTCTGTGCATGCACTTACCTTTGAGTTGTGCACATTTCCTTGCAACTTTTTCTGGAGTTCTGTAGCACGCATTTCAGCCTAGGATTGGCCTTCTTTCCTGTACCCTGCAACACTGATAGCACTGAACCTTGGACCCTGAATCAGTGATAATCTGTGCAGGGGAAAGCCTCTGTCTCTGATCTGCAGATGTGGCTCTGTTTGTTCTGTGCTGTATGGCTGGTGTCAGGGACACCCCATTCCATGCTGTGAGCATGTCCTTGCATGCTGCTTGTCTCTCTGCAAGCTCTGTTCTGGCTTGTGTGGGAAAGAGAATGGAATTAACTAGACAAATGGTAAACCAGCTGAGATGTACTCTGCAATGCTTGTGTTTATCCAGATTCATTCTTAAGAATTTAGGAATAAGATCCTGAAACTGTATTACTTCCTGGGGGATTCCTCCTTTGTGCTGAAAAGAGAGAAGAAACTGAATGTTTCATAGAGCATTTATATGGCAAAGTCTTTCTCTGTCATTGCATGTGTAGCAGGTTACAGCACCTGCCTTTCCCTCTTGTCCTCCAGGGATGACAAGCATCATCAGATTGTAATTCTTTTTCTCCCCAGGCCAACATGTTTACCTTTCTGCAAAAATTGATGGGAGTCTGGTGATTCGAGCCTATACCCCTGTTTCCAGTGATGAGACAAAAGGTTATGTTGATTTAATTATAAAGGTAAATTTTGTCTTCCTTTAAAAAATAAGTTGCTAACTGGAAGGAGGGCAAGTACTTCATTTTAGTGAGATGGTTTGCTTTGATTTAGTCATCAAATTTCAGCATCTTTCACTCAAATTTCATTAAATTTCATTTTCATTGGGTCTCATCTTTTTCAAATAGGGTGACTGCATTGGCAAACAACTCATTTCACATTGCCCTTGAATAGTAAGTTGTATCCTGTGCATCTGCTGTGTGGCACTGAGGGATGGCAGAGGAGGAGTAGAGGGAGGAGAGAACCACTTCCCTGGCAATACTTTAGGAATTTCCCTAATATCTTTCGTTTGACAGTGCATGGATACTGATCTCTCTCCCTCTAGATGCCTGTGCTGCTGCTAATGCTTATTGCAAAGAGCTCTAAGCAGAAAACAAGTCAAACAAGGGAAATCCTTTAAGCTAGAGGATGCAGGATTATCTGATCCTAGGACTTCAGGATCTCCTAATCCTTTTCTGTGATAGAGTTTGTCCTTAAGCAGAAATCCAGACTTTTTTTTCTTTTTGCATGCTCTGTTCTTCGTGTTGCAAGGGTGGTGAATGATTATGAACTGCTTAATCCTTCTTACGTGCTTTGAAAGCTGAAAAAGCTGTTGTGTGGCTGAGTGGAAAAGTTTTAGAAGGAAAAGATGCAGCAGTGCTGTTTTCAGAAGGAGCAGCTACAAAAATGGGGTGACATAAGGCAATAGTGAAATGAGGGCAGCAGCACATAATCTGCCTTCCACCCACCCCTGTTATCCTGGCTGTTTGCAGGCAGCAGAGGGACATGTGCCCAACAGCACATTTCACTTATTTTGGCTGCTCCCTGTTGCAAGACTCAAGAGATAACTGAGAGCAAAGAATCGCCTCGATTTCTTTCTCAGGTGCTGAATGTCAGGCTTGCAGGGTTGTATTCTACAGTTTGTGATGCTGGCTGCAGGAAAGTTAGTGGTTGGTAATGGGCAGATGATTGTTCTTACAGGTCTACCACAAAAATGTGAACCCCAAGTTTCCAGAAGGTGGGAAGATGTCCCAGTATCTAGATAACATGAAGATTGGGGATACCATTGATTTCAGAGGGCCAAATGGACTGCTGATCTATAAGGGAACAGGTACTGTGACAGAGGTGGGAGAGCAAAAGGGAGGTACTGGTTATTTTTAGGGGTGCTTTATAAAACTTTACAACTGTAGAGAATCCTTTTTTTTTAATGGAAAAGAGGAAAAACCTCCTTTTCTAGGCTTGACCATGAGCCTGTCAGAATTGATATGATAGGAAAGAGTGTAAGGAATAACTGATGAGTGTCTCACTCTTGGGACTATACATCTGAAAAAAAATTGCTATTGCATTATATGACTAAGAAGTCTGCACTGGAAATAAAATACCTCAGCTATACATATGGAAGGAGATGCTCCAGATGCTTCTAAGCAAGTGAGATTGTGGCTTAAAATGTCCTTTGAGAATCTCAGTGCTGTTACTGAATTACCAACTGACTGAGAGCCAGCTCCATTTCATAATCAAACCAGGTCTGAGTTGACTGTGAGGAAATAAGCTCAGAAAAGTAAGTGAAAGATTTTGCACTGATCTCAGCTGAGAGGAGTTGTGCACTGAAGTCTCACCTCAGAGTGCTCAGCACTTCTCTGGATGCTGACCTCCTGTGATCAGCAATCTGCTGATGAATCTATCTCAGCAGAAGGGAGGGTTTCCAGAAGATTTGTCTTTATTAATTGATCATCTGTAGTAATTTATTCCCATGGAATTTGTACCCATGTTTGTTTGGAAGTTAATGTACCTATAGGTTTGGAATATTTCTTCTAGGTACCTTTCTTATCAGGCCTAATAAGAAATCTGAAGCAGAGAAGAAGTTTGCAAAGCACCTTGGGATGATAGCTGGAGGAACAGGTAAAACTAATCCCATCATATGGAGTGTCTAGAGAGTGAAAATGTCTTTATGGATTTAGGTGAGCATTATCACTGTACTTTAGTAGCAGAGTACTTACACCTGCGTTACTTTTCCTTAATTTTTTTTCATGGTGGCAGCACTGAGGCATTCCAGTGGTTTGAGCTCAGTCCTGGGGAGTAGCAACATGAGGGTTTGAATACTAATTTGCCTTGTGATCTCAGAGAACTCATCAGTGAAAAAAAGTATTTAAGACAATGTCTTGAAGGTGAAATTATGTGATAGAGAATTCTGAGGAGAAAAGCCCTGCATACAAGAATCGTGAGTTAGATTTGGAAGTGTTATTCATAATAGAAGCCCCCAATCTCTGCAGTCCTTGTGGATTAGAAATCCAGAGGTGTGTAGCCATGTGCAAACTGAGATCCCATTGAAGACTGAAGAGTGGCAGCATTAATACTGAAACTTGGAAAGAAATACCCACTTTATAACCATTTTGGTTTTTGACAGGAATAACTCCTATGTTGCAGCTGATCCGTCAGATCACAAATGATCCTAAGGACTCCACAAAATGTTACCTCCTTTTTGCTAACCAGGTGAGTATTCTGACCCATCTGTTTGTTCTTCTTTAATAGCCCACTTGTTTTTGCTGGCCTCTGAGCTTTTTAAACTGATGGCACATGTTTCATACTCTTTCACATTTAAGTGTCTCCTCATACTTTCACTGAATTCCTACATTAGGAAATAAATAACCAGATCCTGATCCCTCTGCTCATCTTTGTCCTTCACTGATTTCAAGGAAACAGGATTTGTTTCCACTAATCTGTTTGTACAGTTAACCTTCACCATGCTGGCCCAGGGACATTTGCCAGGGCCAGGGACAAAACCAGCTCATTGGGATTTTAGCCTGGATTAAAGAGTTGTTCTAATTGCCATCTTTAGGACTGTGTTTAGGTGGCTGCTAAGTCTCACAGTTTGTTGTACATAATCTCAATTTACAGAAGCCTGTAATGATAATAGCCATCATGGAAGGGGCAAAATATCAAATTACTTTCTTGATTTGCATAATTGTTATCATTGCATTTGTTGTGAATGGCAGATGAGCCCCATCAGAGGGCTCCTGGGATAGTTTGGAGCTGAGCAGCACTCTCATTTTGCAGACAGAAAATGATATTTTGCTGAGAGCTGAGCTAGAAGACATTGCCAAGAGGCATCCTGAGCAGTTTGTGCTGTGGTACACACTGGACAGACCTCCAAAAGGTAGGGACACATGGAAATGCCTTTGCTCATCCCTGTGCAACAGTCAGAGCTTCACTCTTGCTCCAGGGGACATCAGAGTAATGTCAAATGTTCTTGTTTTACACTCCTCAGAAACAAACCTTATCCCACACCCTGTTTTAAAAAGGGATCTAAGTCAGGTGGACCTTAAAATGTGGGAGCTTATAATTAACTTCAGTTAATCAGTGTTACTCAGTGCATCTTTTCATGTATTTCAGTTTTTAGGAATTTTCATTCAAAGTTTAGCTCTGTTTTGGGCTAGCTCCCAAATCAGGCTATGTCAGCATGTTGTTGGTATTAAATTGTTTAATACCTGTAAGTATTTTGTGCACATCTTTGTTTTGCAGTAGCTCCAGATCAGGTTCTGGTGAAACAGAACTGCCATGTGTATGGATTAAGGCATCATTTTCCTACTTGGCTCACTTCAATTGGCAGATGCATTCAATAATGCTGCTGCTTGAAATAGTTTAGCATTTTTTCCTCTTTTAATTTGTTTTCTCTTATCACTGAACTGCATGGCAGAGTTTTTGTTATCACCAAACTTTGTTATCTCACCACTCTATCTCAAGAAAAAAACCCTACAGGTCTCAGTACCTTTCCTTGCCACTGGGTGACCCCTCTTCACTGGAAAAGCTGGTTCATTCTTCCTTTTTATTCCTACCTGATCATTTCTTTTAAATGTTATAATTTATTGTTTTAAGACCTCCATGGTTTATTAACCAGATCCTTGTTATCCACACGCTTGTTGTCCCTATGGAAGGAGATCACTAGGTTTGAGCTGAGTGAGAAATTTAACCCTCTCCTGCTTTGCAGTGATGGTGCCATAACTTGATTCTTCAGCTACTTAATGAGGTAGGCTTCAGCCTTTTTAAAGAGATTCAGAGTAATTGAATTATTTTTTTTTGTTTCAGACTGGAAGTACAGCTCTGGCTTTGTCACTGCAGACATGCTGAAAGCCCACCTGCCTCCCCCTGGCAGTGATACCCTCATTCTCATGTGTGGGCCACCACCAATGATTCAGTTTGCCTGTCAGCCCAACCTGGACAAGCTTGGCTATCCCAAGAGCAGTACATTTGCTTATTAACATTGATGGCACCTGATACCTTTTCTGGAAGTGCTGCATATTTTTCTACAGGAACAGTTGATGTGCAACTGTGCAGCGTTTTTGTGTGTGTGTTTTTTAACCCCCTGATGTAAGTTCTGTGGTCTGTAACTTCATAATCACCTTGTGTGTTTTAACACTAAGACGTTGAGAAATCATCTTGAATTGTGTGTGAGTTACTTAGTCTGATCTCTGAAATTAGTGTAAAACATTAATTCTGAGGGGAAAAAAATTAAGGTGAGAGATCATCCACGTGAATTTGTGTTAAATCATTCCACGGTCAGCAAGAGAGAGGGGAACATTCAGAATTTATTTATAACAGTCAAAAAATAAGCATTTATACCAGTGTTATGCTAATTAGTATTTCTTACTACATATATTTAAAAGAAGAATCAATTGTTTTGAGGATTGACTATTCACAGCCAAGTGAGCACAGCAACACACTGAGTTGTAAATACAGCATTGAAAGAAATAGGAAATAGTGTGTTTGGACTATCCCAGGGCTGCTGGAGCAGCCAGTCCCATTTGCAGTGCTGTAATAAATCTGTTGGCTAATTACCTGACACAGGATTTGAAATGCCCGTGGTACCTGAGCTGGTCACTAGCACTGACTGCATTGCCAGACTGGTACATTTGATATCTTTTATTAAACATTATACAGCAGTAGTTTGCTGATGCCCTAGACTTATTTCTCATTCTTCTGAATTCCCCTTTTTTGCAGTTTGCAGTGATTGAAAAGAATTTGCCTTGATTTTACCACTGTGGACAGTGAAATCACGTGTTTGTCTTCCTGCACCTGACCATAACAGTGCAGGGTCTGTCATGAGAGACTGGTGAAGTGAGGATCAGGAACAGATCACCTGTAAAAAGCACCCCAGGTAGTTCTCAAAGAGCTCTTGCTGCATCCTGTGGCCAGCCCTGGAGCTTCCCTCTTGATTTGGGAGGGTTGTAGCTGGCAGTGACCTATCCCCAGGCTATGTTAGAATCTAAAGCAACACCTGCAGCCAGCAAGGAGAAGGTAATGCAAACCAGCCTGTACAAAGTACTTCTCCTTACAGTTAAGGAGATTTTTTCTGGCATTTCTCTGTTTACCAAGAGAGGATGTTAATAGCTCATTAATACAGGAGATGCACATGTAAACACATGCCACAAGTAACTGCTGCTGTAAAGGTGACAGCTTCACCCTCAGCTCCTCAGAAACTGAGAGGCCATTTCCCTCTGATGCAGTCCTGTCTAGCCCAGTACAACAGATTTATTTTGGTGTTTTAAATAAATAAATCTTTTGTTTTGTTCTGGTACTTTCCTGGTAGTCTCACAGTTACAACTGCAGTTGTTTTTGCCTTAGGTAAAGATTTGTGAACATGGCAGCTTGTCATCCTAATAAAAGCAAGGGCTTGATGGACAGTATTCTGTTCCCTTTCTTCCCATCCTACAGTGCACTGACTTGGATAAAAAGAGGGCAGGACAGGTGCCAGTGAAAGGGAAGAGAGATTGCAATCCTTGCTGGGGACCAGTCTGTCATACAGGATGGTGAGTGAGCCATTGCTGCTGCTCTCACCAGCACCCAGCTGAATTCCAGGTAGCTCTGGTTAGCCCCCGTGGTACAGTTACTTAGTAATGATTCCTGCACTACAAGTTAATTATAAAAATAAAAAATTACAAAAGGTCTTTCATGTAACAGAACATCAACATAGCATGTAACAGGCAACTGAATAAAAGGACAAAACATTGCCAGTCTTGGCTTTCCCAGACTCTGGACACGAGTCCCACTCCTCTCCCAACACCTGTTTCCTACTACACGATGTGGGGAAACATCACACAGGAGAGTTACCTGTAAGGTGTGGCTACACTGACAACAGGAAATGCTACGTGGGAGGTGGCAGAGAAGAGGTAAAACTTTCCTGCTCCAGGGCCCCCAGCTGCTCCTGGCTGCTCCTGCAGGCATGAGGTACAAGTGGTTCTTGGTCATGCTGGAGCATCATCTCCAGTCTTCAAAGGTGGGTGTTAAAAACCTGCTGTCGTTGAGCATTTCATCCTGGCTCAGCAGAGTCTGAAAGAGCAAGATGGGAAGGGCTGAGGATGTTTGGTGAGAGGCTTGAGCTCCCAGACACCCAGCTGCAGTGAGCTCAGGCTCACTGATGTGTGAGAGCCACACATCCACACACAATCAAAGGGAATTTCTTCAATACAGCTTTCAATAAACTTTTTTGCTTGAGGAAATTCTTAGAGATTTTGTGTCTAGCATGAAACTCAGCTATATTTCATAATTCTTCATTATGTCTTCCAGTCACTTATTTTATTTTTTAATAAATTAGCTCCTGGGGAATGAGGATGCAAAAATGAGGTGTTCTGTTTTGCACAGAGTTTTAGCTCATGTGCGTTTTCAGAAGTCTGTACCTCATTCCTGGCTGCTGTGACTGAATTGGTGGTTACCTGCAAAATCTTTGAGGAAGTGTTTTCATTTAAGGAGGTGAACATCTGTCATTTTGTCAAAGAGACAGCAGAGTTCATGAAAACTTAGAGAGGCCTAAATAAAGCTTAATTTCTACAGCATTTTAAAAGCAGGGGGGTTTTTTGACTCAATGTTCCCCAGGCTATAAGAGATATTTAATAAGAGCAGAGGCCCACTTTCTCTTCATTACCTGGAGCAATGACCAGCTTTCAGTGTTAGCAGAAGACATTTGTGGCTTTGGAACAAGAGAGGAATGAGTACGTACCGTGAGGTGGGTTATGCCTTGGGAAAGAGCCCCTATTTGCATTACTGTGCCTTCTGAGTGCTCCATCTGTAAAAGCAGTCAGCAACTAGTTCAAATCAGACAGCATGTGCAATTTTATTCACTCTACATGCAGCTTTGGGAGGGATCTGTGCCTGGACAAATGAAGCTGGGGTAAGTTCAAAAGCTCCTTAACAAAAATGCCTCCATGCTACAAGGTATGTGAAAATGCATTTGATGGCAGGAAGAATGGATCCTGATTAAGAGAGATTGATTCCATGAAACTTGGCCTCTAATTCACAGAAAAAAAAATAAAAAGCTTATATTATCAATGAAAAGTAATATTTTCCAAATGGTTTAACACTGCTTATATTTCTGGTAGGTTTCTTTCACAGGCACGATGTCCTTGATGCAGTCCTACCTCTTTTTACATAGAAATGTCACCAGCTCTAGGGCATTGTGATTTCCTGTGTGGCCACATGCTCAGAAGTCATGCTTAATAGACAGACCATGCTCCTAGAGAAAAATCCAGAGTTTCTATCATGCTTGAACAACTGCACAGTGCAAGTTCTTGGCTCAGAGTTAATGCATTCCCTCACAACTCTCAGCTGAGCAAGTGGACATCCACACTCATCAGGGTTTGGTGTTCTCCCTGCTTAGCAGCAGTACACTGGAAAGGACCACGGTGAGCCAATGAACACAAATGAGATGTTAGATGCACCAAACCATGCAAATGAAAAAATTACCTTCACAGTTAGTCTTTTCAATGTTGTGACCATTCTCTTGTCAGGCTTAAACTGTTTTTATGTCAGCCAGTTTACTCGAGCTGCCTCTGTGTGGCTCTTGTGTGCTGCCAAAGTTCACACAAGGCTCCAGGAGCGCTCCGTTTTTCAGGGTTTACATCCCTTTACACAACAGCAAAGTTGAAATAAAATTTGATGGTTTTTAGTCTTCATCATTTCTCTGTATGCTGTCTGGACAGTTTCATTCACAAGTTCACCACTACATTACAAAAGTGAATTAACTATTGGTTTATTAATAATTTGTTCATTGCTGATGCATTGTCTCCACATATATTGTCTAAGCAGAACTACTCCCCACTGTACACCATGAAAGAGAAATTCAGTTGGATTCTCTGATTACTGACTGTTAAAAAATACAATCCAGTTGTACTTTAATATAACTTGATAGCTTTTTACAAGTTTGTCCAAATGAATTTATTACATTAAAAACCACCCATAAAGATAATGAAAAAAAATAGTGTGCCGTACTAAAATTATGAAAGCGAGAAGTACAAAAGTCTTGTGTTTACTGCGACCACACCCTTGACTGACAAAATACCTTGATCTTCAGAGTGTAAAGGTGTCATAGTCCTGAAAAAGGGCTAGAGGATGGATGAATGCATGAGGATGTTGATTAACAAAAAACAACCCCACTTTTTTAGTCTGGAACTCTTTCCAGTGTCCACAGCCAATGCTTTTCTCAGTGAGTTCATGCGGATGTAGCAAAGAGTTTGTTATGGGGGAACATTTGGTTATTTGCAAGCTTTGGAATGCATGGAGAGGATGAGATGAGCATGGCATCAGTCTGTCTGTCCCACCTGATCCAGTTCCCTGTCAGTGAAAGGACTAAGTCCTTTGTAGCCACCATAGTTTTTCGAGGTACCATTCGTAGCAGCTGGGCTTGTATCCATAGGACAAATGTAGTCTGTTGATTCGTCAAACTTCTTTTTCCTTAAGTTTCCAAAATGCGAAAATCCAAGTTTCTTTGGCTAAAATAAGGAGTCAACACAAGAAGTTTTGAGTAAGACAAGTAAGGCTGCTCTTTAAACATTCAAAATCCTCCCCTTTTTTATTTACTGCTATACCCTGGTCATTCAAGTATATAGATTCTGAATTAACTACATTTGTTCTCAAATCGAAGTTACGGTGGATGTTAAATGCATTTACATGATGTTCCTTATCTAAGAAGAGACAGAACAGGTTGCATGCTTATTTTCAGGACCTGATTGAAACAGATACATAGCAAAAGGTCCAGAATGAAGGGAAATGTAGCACTCCTAGAATTCACCTCTCCCTGCCCATTATTTTCTTTGTCATTCAGAGTGGAGAAGTCTGACACTGATCTCTCCTTTTAGGCAGCAGTACCTACCCGAACTTTGGCAGTGGTGGTCAGAGGTGTGTATGCTGCTGACTCCATGATCTCTCTTTTTTCTTGTTGTGCCTCTGGCCCAATTAACACGTTGAAATTGGTGGTGAGGTGGCGGCGCAGGAGGGTCTTCTGGGGTGGGATATTCAGGAGCATGGCCAGCGTGTCACCGTTGAAGCGAGGTTCCAGAATCTGGGAAAAGGGCAGGATGTTTATTTTTTATATAAATATTTGCAATAGTAAACTACTACAGTGCTTAGCAGAGGATTTCTCACTAAGTACCTGTTCACATTAGACATTTTATAGCCCACTCATACTGGGTTTGAATGGGAAATACCTGAAAGGAGCCAAGAAAAAATGCTGAGCGTGATCAGGCAAATATATGTTTATATTTATCATCAAACTGTATGTTTGTTTGGGTTGAATAAGTTTCCTTTGAGAATTTTCTGCTCTACTCAGAGTACAAACTTAGCACGATTTCTACCACTGCATTTTTTGCAAAAATTCTACAGCAGTAGAATCATGCTATTTCAGAACCCTGACATCACTGAGCTGCAAACAGTTCTGAATATTTTGAATTAAAACAATGTAATTCCTGACTGCACTGATTTCAGGGTGGTTATTTAGCATGTCTCAGAGTTCTGGTAAATCACTCAAAGGAACACTCAGTGATGCCTTATCAAAAAGCAACTTTTGCACAGCACAGTTCAGGTTTCCTTTTATGTGCTGCTGTCATACACTTGTGCACAGCTCAGCTTTGGTTATAGGAAGTGTTTTAGCTGTTCCTTTTTTATTTTAGCTTTCCTTTGTAAAATAAAGATGTGTGAATCAGGTAAAGAAGCTCCTTAGAAGGCCTGATCATGCTGTCATATTGCAGATGTGTTTGTTCCTTTCTGCTTGATGAACATCAGACAAAAGATGGTTTCTATTACAGCCTGTCAGTTTTTGATGGTGAAAGGGTAAATTCTTACGATCAGGCCCCCGTGCACTCCGCTGCCTCGAAGGTTGGGTGCATATTCTGCCAGATCCACGGATCTGAGCCATTCCATCACCCTGTGGTTGGACCACTGCACCACGTCAGAAGGAGAGATGTTGTTCTGTTGGAGGGACCACAAAAGGTGATGACAGCACAGCCTGCACTGTCTGAGTGTGCACAGCTCGTATCTCAGCTCAGATAAAAACAGCCTCCCTCCTCTTCCTCCTTGTTCTTCCCTGACTCAGGGATTGTTTCTCTTCAAGGCCCATTTCAAGCAGCCTCTGATGAGATGGCAGACCTGGTCTAGTACTGATGGAACCCCACGTGTTGCATCAGGAAGTGCAACAGCAGAGATTACAGATTACAGGGATAAAAGGGGAACATTCTGACAGCAGGGTTTATTGACAGTGTTTAATGCTAGGACAAAACTATGCTGATCACGTAAGGCAAAAACCTTATAGATTTTAAAAATGAGATCAGGCAAAGAGAAATAATTCCAAATTATCCTCTGGGAAGATGAATTAACATTTTTTCCACTATGCAAATCATTTCTGAAGAGAAATCCATGAGACTCAGCTAATAAGTGGCATAACTGCTGCTTTAGGTGCAAGTCCCTAAAAGCAATGATTCTGTGTCACTGTACACTGCTGGCTTTCTATCCCCTTTGGCTAGGGCCAGGTGCTTGCTTAAATTAATTGATTTCAACATCCTTTTACCTCCTCAACTGGCCTCCTGCGTAGACAGTGGGGGTTGAAGCCATTGACATGCAGCACATGAATGGCACATTTAATACTCAGGTGGTGCAGCTGGCTGGTGACTTTCAGGAAGAGGAGGTCATTCTGTGAAGGAGAAAGCCTTTTAGGTGGCACAGAACACACACCAAAACAGATACTCTCCCCGAGAGGAAAGAGTTTAAATTCGCTGTGTAATTTTATATAACACTACACTGATGTGGTTTAGGAAAGATGAAAGCTTGTACTTTAAAGAGGGTTTGGGTTTTGTTAGGGTGGAGATTTGGGGGGGTTCTGTTGTTGGTTTGTTGGGGTTGTTTTTAACATTGCACCACAGCAAGACCTGGCAAAAAAATGAAGGTAGGAGTGTAGCCTGTTAAGGCAAATCCAGGCCTTAAATATCCAGACTTGGGCAGGAGAATGGGAGAAAAACACGGTGTCTGTGTGAGGCTCATGGTGTGCTGTGGATGTGGTCAGAGCTCTACAAATCTCTGGATTTTCTGCTGTCACTTTGCTGAATATTGTTGTTAACTTGGTGTGGAGTACAATGAGCTCCAGAGGTTACACATAAAACATTTTACTTTTAATCTTGGGGTGCCACATGATATTGAAAGAAGGACTTTGCAGAAGTTAGCCCTAACATATGACTTATTTTATGGTCTTTAGGAACAGATTCCATGCACTGGGCAACACAAAGGAGTTATTACTGGCACTGTTTCTGTCTTGCAAAAATTCTTTAACTGCTCACATTCAAAGGAAAAATTTAAAAGTTTTTGCTTATTCTGAAATTAAAATTGGTAAAACTGAGGATAAAGGATTGTACTTACCACAGTTAAGTACTGCAACATCCTCCCATCTACTCTGGATTCATGAAACTGGTCTTTGTACTGAGGTAAGCCAATGTCATCAAGCCACCCTGCAGATGTGAGAGCAATGGGGAACCAAATCCAGACCAGTGAGAATGAAGCCCTTCTCCCCTCTTGCCTGGCCTGGCTTTCATTCAGGTGGCTCATTCTGCCTATTCCCCTTTCCTGAGGACAGCCTCTTGCCAGCAGCCCAAAATAAATTCCCACCAACCAGCTCTGTCCACACCAGCCCTGTGATGTTTGACATCCAACACGTGAAGGAGCACATCTCCTGCAGCATAATGGAGCTCTTCCTGGATGGAGCCCACCCACTGAATTCCCTGCTGTCTGACAGAGTTCCCCAGGGAAGAGCACACCACAAGCTCTATGTTTGGATGTCAACAATAACACAAAAATCCTCAATTCTTCTCTGGTGAAACTCAGTGCTTTTTAAAAGATGACTGCTTAAATATGAATCAGGCTGAATTTTGGGAGAAATTCCTTCCCAAACAATTCTGTGAGAGTCCAAACACTTACGTGTCACCCAGATATGATCAAGTTGTGCAGACTTCTCATCTTGTTTTGCATTTATAGCTTTGATGGCCAAAACCAATTTCTTCCTGTGCAGTGGGTGCTTTATTCCCATTTCCTGCAACAAAAACCATCAACAAAGAGTTTGCTGTGCCTCTGGCTCCTTTCCTCACGTGAGGTAACTATGAAAATTGATGCTGGGGATGCCAGAAGGGTAGAGGCTGGAATGGACAGAACCAGCAGGTGGAGAGAAGCAGTGAGTACCTTTTCCATGTCCTGAGGTGTGGCAGTTAACAGCGTGTGGCCTGATGTCACCCACTGCCGGGCAAAAATCACATACTGGCCCAGGCCAAAGTCCTCCAGCCAGTTACAAACTCTTTCCGTGCTCCACTGAGCAAACGGGGCATTGTGGTCACTGAAAAGCACAAGAAACATCGGGAAAAATCTTAAAGGAAAGAACAAATGTCCATATTGGAAAGCTCATGGTGTGCCAGAGACAGCACTGCAGCAAATCGGTCAGTGTGCTGTGTTCTGCAGTGTCCTGGGAACTGGGACCTGTGAACAGGTGCAGGGTGGATACAAATTTCCCATTTTCTGTTTGAAAAGAGGGAAAAGGGAATTGCTGAATCCTCATCGTTATGCAGATGAGGAGGTAATTATTCTCCTTGTTATTTAACAAGGTGGAGTTTTTGACACTCCACCCTTGAAGCTGGAGGAGCGAAAGCAGGGGAGATTCTCAGGATGATTTTGCTACCAGAGAAATTCTTTCCAGCTGCTGTGCAATGCCACGTGGACCAAAGTGCTTGGGCAAACTCCCCAATAAGAGGGAGGGATGCTGGAACCCTGAAAACTGGGAGTTTGAACTTTCTGTGCTGTCAGGCACCGAGCCCCAAGAGAACACAGCTTTTAACTTGAGGCTGTGGAGAAGGCTTCCAAAATTGAGTAACAGAACTAGGATCATTGGTGTGTAGTTTGAATAGAAGTGTGTAATATCACATGGTAAAGAATTTGGAATTTGGGGTTTTAGAATATAGTAGTAGGTATGGAGCAATATGGACGTTTTAGAGCAGAGGTTTCTTTCTTTTTCACCTTCTTGTTTATGGGTCTAGGTAGGATCTTGTTTAATTGGATAGAAAATACCACACTGCGGATCATGAGTGTTTGGTCATTGAGTCAAAAGTAAAAATAATTTAAGTGTTAGCTTTTAATTAAACAATTAAGCCTTAAAAAACCTTGTAACAGAGAGATAGATGGCCATTTCTTCATTTTTAGCTTGTTAACTAAAAGTGCTGTAGCACTCATTGTAACATAGATAAAAATTAATAAACATCTGAGTCTGAACAGGAAATTCCGTCTCTTGTACTTTTACTCCTGACTCTGACTAAAAAAAAAAAAAAGAAGATAGAAAGCCATAGAGGGGTTGGCTGCTGGGCACATTTAGCAGCAGCAGGCTGTGCCAGGGAGAGGAGGAGCCCTTACCTCTTCTGGCCTTTGGTGTCCTTGGATCGGGACAGGCGGGGTCCAGCCGTGGCCCGGAGACCTCCCCTCCGGAACTCTGCCAGCCCCAGGTCGTCTGCAGGGAAGTTACCTGACTGAGTCCTTCGAATTCTTGCAAGACAAGAGTGCCACGACACGGCTGTTAGCTGGTGACAGAGGATGTTTGTTCTGCCTGGAAACTACAGTGACAACTAACAGCTCTGCGAGTCTCCCTGGGAACCGCCAATGCCAAATTCCACAGCAGCTAAAGGAGTTCTAGGAAATTCAGCCTGGACATAACTCTGGAGGGGAAAAAATGGAGCTCTGCAGAGCAGCTGTAACACTTTGATCCAATTACTAATCCAGACTTGGAAATAGCTGCTGTTGCTGAAGCAGATTAATTTTTTCTGCTTTCTGTTCCTTCTGTTTTCCCTTATTTTTTTACCTGGTGTCTTTTGTAATGAACAACTTGCTACAATTTAATCTTCCATGGCTAATAAAACTGCTGGCATGTTAAATTGAATAGCATCAAGATGACAGCAGTGCCTTATTTCTTTCACCAGTATGATGCTGTGAACACTCCCAACAATTTTTCCACCCCCCTGTGTACATAAGGACACACCCATGCAATCCCAGAGCTGCTTTCTCTCCCCAAATTTTAGCTTATTCTTGCTATAGATAATTGTAGATTTAGCTGGGAATTGGCTTCTTTCTCGGCTGAAATGCTTTGATAGTGAATAATAAAAAAATGACCTTACTTTCCCCAGATTTTCTTGATCCCTTTTGGACTCTTTCTGTTTTCTGGAGACCAGGGAGATTGTGAGCCTGAATCCATTCCCGAAGAGAGAGGTGAAAGGTCATCCGAGACCACTGCACCATCCATGTTCTCTGTTTCTCCTGGGTTAAGAACAATATTATAGTCACATTTTATATCAGTTACTGATAAAGTTGTCTGGGAGGCTGATGTTTAAATGCAGGACATGATATGAAAGTACAGACACCTATAAAATTGTTCTTGCATTAAAAAAAACCCAAACAACAACATGCTCAGAAGGTGAAATAACAGCTGGACATTTGATACAAAAAAAGGGAAAGTAATAAAACATTGGGTAAAATAATTTTGTTATTTCAGTCTTTTCTATTTAACTATGTTATTTGAATTCATTTAAGGTTTTCTTGCCTGCTCTCAATACCTTAACTCCTCCATTAAAATCCGTGGGAATTTTTCTGAACTCAGCTAAAACACAACGAAACCAGGGGTAAGTGTCATAAAAAGAAACCCCATGGGAATGCCACACAGCAGGAGCTATTACTTCATTTCAGTACTGCATGTAAGGAGTTGGGATTAGTGTTTTATAGGGAGAGGGAGGGGGAGAGGAAAGAACCGAAGTGAGCAGCAAAATGAGTGTTCAAGTTGCATCTTGTTGGGATACAGTACCTAGCACAGGTGCACTGACACTCCTGCCACGATCTTCAGTCATCCCAAGAAGCAGAAAGCCAGATGGAGAAGCAAAGAGGATACAAAACACCAGCAAAATAAAGTTACAGAAGGGCAAAGTAGTTAAGCTAAGCATTACAAGCAGAAACAAAAAGAAGAAGAAGCAGTTATGCTCGACGTGGAAGTGAATGTGCCCTGGTGTGCACAAGCCCCAGGAACTCTGTACAGATCATCTCAGACAGGTGGGGATGAAAATGGATCTGTTTGGGCTTTCCTGGCTATTCTTGGGAAGTTTTAGCTCTTTAAGCAAAGACTACAGAGCTCTACGAAGCCTGCAGAGTATCTGAAATGAAGCAATGTCTAAGATAACATCCAATTGGTCTGAGATACAGAATTGGAGGTGGAATGAACTTACTCCACGTGCAAGAAACAAACCAACCTGTAGAAAAAATTCTCTGGACTCAGTGTGTTTAAAAAAACATTGCTTGTTTCTAGAAGAAGAATATTTTCCTTTACAAGCTCACCCACCCTTGGATAATCCTGCAGGTAAAGACACTATGGCATGGCTCATGCATTGCCTACAAAGTTGTCATCACAGAAAAGCTCTTTCAAAACTCCTAAACAACCACAAAAAAACCTATTGCAACCTTGAAACTTCAGTGTGCTAGCAGCTTTAGGGACCAGAGGCCTTAAAATAAACCAACCCCCACCAAAGAAAAAAAACTACAACCAAACAGCAAAAAAACCCCAAACCTCACTGTAACTTTTAAAGTGCAGGAAGAATTCAGAATCATAAGGGATACTCTTGTGCTCGAGCTCCCAAACTCTTCAGTCCTAAAAAAATACCTGGTCCTGTGCCTTTAACTCTTAACACCTTTTTGTCAATAAACCTGTGCTTAAGGTGCCACTGAAAAGAAATTAATACAGGCTTCCACAGGGCTGTGGTTGTGGAATGGAAATATATTTGTAGTTCCAAAATCCACTGATGGTTTTCTGCATGTAGTAAATTAAATTTTAAATTTTCACTAGTGGGTCCCTCAGAGCTAAGCAACCAACAGTGCTGATAGAGGAGTTTTTACCCAAAACATTCATGTTTTTGATAGTTGTACTGTAAAGTTTCAAACGGTATTGTCAGGTGCAACAGGAAAAAAAAAAACAACAACCCCTCTAAATTAAACTCATCCTTTACTCTGCCATGAGCTGTGGGAATATTTCTGGTATTTATTTAAAAAGAAAGAAAAAAAGAAGTAAAGCAGTAGGAGATTCCCTAAGTGAACCATGTGAACATTGTCCTGGCATAGCAGACTCTATCCCACTATGTCCCAACCCCTCAGACAGTTTGGATTTTTGGATTTTCCCTCTGGGGGAGGCACAGGTACATACTGAGGCTTGGGATGCTGCTGTCATCGTTGTCCCCCGTGGCACTTCCATCAGGGGAGCTGTGCATGCCCTGCTCTCCGTTCTGCAGGGCTCGGGGCAGCTTTCCTGGCAGAGTTTGGTACTTGCTGCCTTTCCCCACTGCCTTACTCTGCTGTTTTGAAAAGAGGGAAAGATAAAGTAAATACAAAATCAAAGTGCTCACAGCGTCTGCAATCTGGTACACAACGTTCTTAAAGCTGAGAAAGAAGCATTCTTCAAAATGACCCCAGTCCCTGCACGTTCCTGCTGACAGATAACTCCATTTAAACCCATCCATCAGCTGACAGTTTCCCAGCTAAGACACAGCCTTGCCTTCCCTCATCTGCTCCCCCCACTCTGCATTACTTCAAAATCCATGTTAAATATTGCCTGGATTTGCCATAATTGTTTTTCTAGCTGTCTCCCCTTCCTCCAGGACCCTGTCACTATTTAATCGTTTGATCTTTCCAAGGTCAACTTTATTTTAAATGTGTTTAGTTACTCCTCAGATCTTTTTTTTTCTCCCCTATTTTCCACTAGACTCTCTCTGTTTCTGCCTTACAACTGTATCTCGCTGAAATTTAACCCAAAAGTACACCTCGAATTTCCTCAAACCATTAATAACAGTGAAAGAATTAACACCAAAGTTAGGGTACAGAAATTTAACTTTTGTAAGAACAAAAATCTCTTTGCATAGACAGAATTGTACATGTCAGGTATTTTTAAAAAAATAATTACAGCTAAATATAATTGCCAGTTCTATTACAGAACCTAATTTTCCTCACATTCAAGTGATACCTCCTTGGGCACCTTGCTCCTTTTACAAAGGCAGATGAAATGTTCCCATGAATCTGATAGTTTTGAGCCTAATAAGTTACTTTTTCAGGCAAAACACAAAGATACTTTTGCCTACAGTTTTGGAAATGGTTTGTAGGGATTTCTTCAACACTGAATCCAGATGAAAAGATGGCCAAGCCAACGCTCTGGGTGAAAGGTGTAGGACAAAAATGCTTTTTTTGGGACAAGCAAGGAACCTGCAGCCCCAGCTGACATTAACAGGGAGAATGGTGTACATGCAATATGTGCTTTGGAATAAACTCACACTGGCTAATGTGTCAGGATCAGAATGGAGGCTTCACAGGAGAACTTTGCAGTGGAAATATGCAAACCATATTTAGTACAGAGGAACATACAGTGTGCTCCTATTCAGTAACCCCATTCCAACAAAATTGTTTCAAAACATTGTCTGTGACAGGATGATACATTAAAAATTCAATGAGATAAGCACTGCTTTATCTGTTCTTGTTCCAAGGCCTAGAGGATTCTTTGGAATTGTTCAGTTCCTCAACTCCAGCTCCTTTTTGGCAACTGCAGGAGCACATCCCAACTTGTACCAAAAATATTAAGAGTAAGAGTAGAGCAATTGTGTCTTACATCAGCAGTGTGTATTCTGAGCCTGACTGACCTCAGCTTCATGTAACCAACTTTAAGATAAAAAGTACAAAAACAAAAGGTTTCCCTCTCAAACCCTCTGTTTTGTTTGTCAGCACTGGAACTATGCAAACATTTTGAAGAGAAAATGAATATAAAATGCAAACCAGACATCACATCACATCACACCAGAGAATTGTTAGGGAAGGATGCAGTTAATATACCTCTTGTTCTACAACAGGCTGTGCTGGTTTTCCATCTACATACTATGGAGTTTCGGGGAGGGCAATTTCAAAGTTTTATGGAAAAAAGCAACAGACAAATGTTAGTATTAACATACATACATGAAACATCAAATGTAGTCTTACTGCTATGGGGATGGTGCTTAATGCATGGACAATATATTACAAGGACTGTTACCTCTTAATTTCATCTCAATCCAATATTTAGTACTAATTGTGTTTGTTCATACCCCACTCTACAAAATTCCTGTGTAAGTTCTATTGTGATCAAAGGAATTTTGCTATTTCCAGGTTTCTGGGTGGTCCCTTTAGACTTACTTTGAGCTGGGAACATAACAGCTGTTTAACAGACCAATATGAAAGCAACTGACATAAAATAACACACACAATCCTGTATGGATCCAGCTGAAACCATAAAGAGCTCTGATAGAAACCCACTGATAAAAATTCCACCACAGTTAGGTCAGGGACACTAATGTGGTTTATTATTTTATTATTATTATTATTGCTGGAAGCAATGGGAATTTGAGCTTTAAGCAAGGCAGGATAACTCCAGCATGAATGTGTAGGTTCAGCCTTATCACAGCACATCACACAAATTCAGATTCTTGATTTAAGACAAGAAAATACCTAAAAGCTATGACTTCATCAGTTCTTCATGGAATGAAATGTTAGTTCTGATTTGTGACTATAATGAAACAAATGCAGCACAAATTTCACACATTCTACTTGGTCACTATCATCTCCAGCAAGTCAAGAAAAATATTAAAATATTTAAGACAAACTTTAAAAAATTTAAGAACTGGAGCAATCACATTACTGGTATCTGGCTTAATTGGCATTACTGGGTGTAGGTAACCTGGTAATAAGCCTAATTTGAGTACAGAAAACAACAACATTCTCACAAAGCAGAATTACAAAAGTGTAGAAAAATATCAGTGTGCATAATGACAAAACAAGGCTGTGGACCACAATGTAACAAGACACTGCAAACTGAGAAGTTTTATTCTGGAGTGGAAGGAAAGACTTTGAGGTGCTCCTGCTGCTTTAACTAAGGCAGCATCACTGCCACCTTCAGGAATGCCATTTGTACCTGAGAGCTAAGGGAAAACAGCTGCATGCAAACACCCAGAAAGGAATCCTGTGTGGAAATACCCAGTCCCAACATTTAGCTACTTTCAGGATTGGCTGCCTTAATATTTTTGGTGATTTGGAAGCTAAAAAAATATTTTTTAAGCACCTATAAATAAAACAATACTGCAGTTTAACAAAATGATTCCTCATTATTTCTTATATTTCATGCAAATATTTTGGTTTCTCTCAGGGCAAAAACGGAATTTGAAGTTGTGTCCACATGGGAGGATATGCTTGGAAATGGAGGGAGAAAAGAACTTGAGCTGTTTTAGGGCTCTTTGCCCACGTACAGAGTTAGTGGTGGTTAAAGTCACCATATGTATAACAAAAAGAATATTCATACTTGATCTTTTTCTCCTGGCTGTGACATTAAACACCAGAAGCTGTGATTACAAATAAACCAACCTTTTCCAAGGATTCGCTCTGCAAGTCTTCTAAACTGCTTGACTTTTTTTTCTGTGCAACCCTTAAAAAAGGGACAGGCAAAAAAAAGCAGCAGTTAATACAACAGGGTTTGTTTTTATATCCCCAGTGTCTCATGCACAACAGCTGCAGAAATCACATTATGTCTGCATAAAACATAGCTCAGAATTAAGAGGTTTGTTTATTTTATTGCGTTTTTAGCCTGAAAATCATTGAGAACAGCAATAGGTGAAGGCAGAAAGAGTGACAAGGCATCCTCAGACCAGCAGTGAAAGGCAGCCTGGCCCAGTGGGCAGCTTTATCCTGCTGTCTGTAGATTATTTTAGAAGCTCTAAATAAGCACAGCAATAACTCTCTGTGAGCACTGTGCAACATTTAGAGATTTTAGAGAGGAAATTTGTTTTACTTTTCAATGAAAGTTACTCGTTCTTACCTGTTTGTGATATCCAAAGATTCTTCCTGCTGAGTGGGTAAATTACTTGGAGGTACTGGAATGCTTCCACTTTAAATAGAAATAAATTTTATGGTTTTAAGGACTACAGTGCATATATCTTCTGATTCATAAAAACGCTGATTTATCCCTATAACTGAAACCTTAAACATCTGAGCATTGCAAACCCCCACGACAAGCACAGCTTTCACAAGTGCCCAAAGCTGCAGCAAAGCCAAGATCAGTCAAGACAAGATGCCAACAGTTGCAAATAGTCTAAATAATACAATTTCTCATCACCCACATGAAACACAAGGTCTTGCCTGATTTCCATGGCTTTGTGTGGCACTGGAGGGAGCACAGCTGGTGACAATTCTGCAGGGGCCTGGGGAAGACACAAGAGTTTCAAAGCTGCAGCTCTGGTGTCTGCTGCTGAATCTACTGTGCCCATACCAAGAAATACAAAAATTCAGCCAGGGCTGAGCCCTCATCTACATTACTACAGAGAAACTACCAGCAAAAAAATCATCTATACAGCAGAAGCTGCTTCTAGAACATCTGTACCTCTGTTTTCAGTAATTCTCCTTGGGAGTTATTCAAAAGATTCCATTTCCTCAACGTTGTCTCAAGTTCCTCATCACTGCCACCAGAGACAGGAGAGCCTGAAAGCATCAGAGAGTAGGAGCAGCAAGGGAGGGGAACAGGCAAAGCTTGTTTTCTGCAGTATCAGCTCAAAAATCCACAGCATCATGGCTTGTTCCTTGCTTCTTTATTTATTTACTTATTGAACTTTCAGAGAGCGAGATCTGCTCTCGTTCTCTATTTTGCATGTTAAATACATTTACTCTCTGTAAATTCCGTATTTTTGTGTGTTAAACACAAGTTTTTATTCTGCCATGGAAGGCCTAAAAATATTGTTATTGCTTGTTAACGTGATGGGGTGCATGGAATAAAACTGTCCTTTCAGAAGGTCAGGTTTCCCAGATTAAATTCAGTGCTGAAAATTATGGTGACAAATTAAAATGAGATTGTCCTAAAACCCACTCCACTTCCTACAGTGTAAATGAGAATTGGGAAAAAGATTTTTTTTTCTTCCCCCCAGATTCTGAAGTTAAATACACAGAATTGTGTGCAGCAAAGCAAGGTGGGCTTTCAGTTGTTAATTCCAAACAAAACTTGTCATCTGTCAGGGTTTTCCTTAGTGGAAGGGAAATAAATTAGTTCTCCCTCTCTAGCATCATTTTATTCTGTAAAACGTGGCTGATGGTCACAGGAAACACCACATAAACTTAAAATAAATCAGGAAATTATTCACAAGACACTTTACCATGAGCTGCAATCATGATGTCCTTGACCCTTCTGTACTGGCTTAGCAGCAGTGTCAGCTCCTCTATCCGACGGTCCTGTGCAAAACATTAAAGAAATAAAATTACATTTTAAATCCTTCCTTTTTAACTGCAGAAACACCCTACTACATCTCTGTGATTTCCATGAAAACAGGCTCCGTCTCTCACATGCTTTGTGAGGAATGTTATTGGCCTTTGTACACAATATTTGCTGGACAATGTGAAATTACAGATGTAAGAAAACCAGAGGAGTTTGATGCTAGGGCTTTTTTGAGAAATAAATGTTATGAGCCACATCAGTGTTCTCCAGAATTAATGTCCCCCTGTCTGGATTCCCCACTTGCTAAAGGAAGTTTTTAGGGATGCATATTGTTGTCTATGTGATCCCCTATGAGTGTGCCACAAAAATTACATCCTCCTGAAGAACGGATCCCCTTTCTCGTGTAGTCCTTACAGAAAGTGTGTTATTTGGAACAATCAAAACCATAATTTCATTCTTAACATGCAGAACAAAGATTATTTTCTCACCTTTTCCTCGTTTGCTGCCAATAATGTCTCCATTCCTATCTTCAACCGCTGAACTTCTTGGTCTAAAAATGTTTTAAAATGTTGTAAGAGAAATAAGACTTGCTATGTTTACTGTAAATAGATGTTTTGTGATATTCCCCCTATGTTCTTACTAATAACCAAAACCATGTCAGTGGCATGGCCAGTGCACTACTAAACTACATTTAATGTAGATTTTTTCAGAAGCTGAACTATTAAAAGCATTGCACTACACAAACATCCTGGTTTTGCTTACAAAACACTACATAACACTATTTTAAACTATGGAAGTCAAGCAATGGAAGAGAAAAGAAACACTGAAGCTCATTTTGCTAAAGATGAGTGTGAAGTGTGTTTGCTGTTATATATTAAGGAAATTACAGTAGGATTGAAAATATATATTCCCTCTGAGAAATAGTTAAAGTACATCCATGAACTTGGGAATGAAAAATAACAAAAAGCTCGTTTGAAACAAGGAAGTCCTGTAAAATGTTATTTACTTAAATGTTTCAGGATGAATAACTTGGTTAAAATCTATGTTATGAGCTAATGGAGAATTTCCTCACACACAGTTTAGTGACAGAGGTTGTCCAGTGATGTTTTACCAATTAAAACACACTCTCTGGAAATGTATGAGGTTGTTAATCACATCCTAACTTTACTGAACCAAATCTCTCATTTTTCTCTCCACAATAATCCCAGCAAGTCCTCCTGACTAAACCAAGAGTGATGGAGACAGAACCTGAAAGAATTCCTCTGTTCTGACATGCTTTGACATTAAAGCTGCTCCCAAAAAAACCATGAAAACAGATATGGAGGCATGGAGAGAGGGGAAAGAAAATCAACATTGCCAAAGAGCATCTGTAAAATAAGGATTTGCAACTGAATGTTGAACACACAATGTCACAGCTAATCTGAAAAAGCTGTAATTAGTTTTTATTGCAGGGATTCTGGAAAGTGGACACCTTGCAATGGTTAAGGCTTTTTTTCAAGGAAGAGACACAGGACATGCAGAGGCAGAACCAAATCAAAAACTAAAGCCAGCAGGCAGTAGGTAAGCAATTGGGAGATTTAAAAAAAAAATCACAGTCCCACTAATTTCTCTTTGTAAATATTAGACTTCAAAAAGGACTGGTGTCAAGGTAGATTTAAGCTCACTAGAGCAAATTTTACTTACAATATTCATGAACATCATCAAGTATGGAGACATTTATTCAGACTTTTTTTAAAATTTGATGTAGTGATTTAAAAAAAAAAAAAAACAAGCCTAAATCTTCCCCTCCAAAGATAAAGGCTTCCAATTAAAGCCATCTTTCCCAAAATTAAATATTGGGGTTTACATATGTGCAAATAAAAGGGGGTAATTGTTGGGTTTTGGCTCTGTTAACCTTGACAATGTCCCTTTGAAGTGCCACGGTTTGATTTGTGAAGCTCTGACCTTTATTTCTGCAGTGAGATCTTACTGAGCAGGGCATGGAGCTGCCTGCTCACTGCAAGCAGTGAAAGCAGAGCCTCGTGTGTATTACAATCAGACAGCCAAATCCAAACAACCATGGAATTATTGCTGCAGAATGCATCTGAGTTAACATTGGTGGGGAAGGAGCAGTGAGGTAAAGCCAAAAAGGGAATGGCAAGGCTTACGTTTTTCTTTTAGCCTTCTCCTATAAACTTCCTCTACGATGGTGAGAGTCAAATAAAGTATGTAGAAAAAGCACATATTAGATCAATTTTGCAATTTAATTAGGATATGCATTCTAGCATACTACAAGTACATTGACATAATTTTTTAACGTTGAGAAGACCACCTAAAATTCTGATAAATAATTTTTTTTTTCTCCAGAAAGGTTGTTCCTGTTTCTATTCAAATACAGTCTAAGTGCTTTCCTTGAGTACAGCCCACAGATTTTGTAGAGGGTTTGATTCTTCTGCCACTGGAATTAAGGACACTTGAACACAGATCAAGCTGCACCACACTTCTAGAATCTGAACACCGCCGAGCTCTAGATTTACTGTCATACCACACCATCCTTCCTTTGAAATACCATAAATTATTTGGGAATCTCACAGAAAACACAAAATTCCATTAGTAGAAGGGCTCCTCTACCAAGCAGTGCTGTTAGACAGGCTAATTTCCAGGTTAGACATGCAGTCTGTGCGTGCACAAGCTCTGCAGCTGAGCCATGTTAAAGCCGCTCCGCCGGAGCGAAGCGCAGCAGGTTTCTGGGGAGCCCTGGGAAGGAGGGAGCACAGCACATGGAAATTAATTCATTATTCATAAATTCATAAGTTCACATCCCAGCCAGGGCAGCCTTGGGAAGTCTCAGTTATGACCCAGAGAAGCAGCCAAGCTGGTGCCCTGTGGCAAACTGCACACAAACACTCCTGCGTGGATGTGTCGGTGCTGCAGAGGAAAAGGTCCCTAATTCCATATTGTCCCTAATTCCATATTGTCCCTAATTCCATATTGTCCTGGCAGGGAATATTTCAGAGAACTGTGGCACCACTGGTGGAGACCAAAGGCTAAACAAACTGGTTTGTTTGCCATTGACCTGTGTCAACAGTGCAGGCTTAAAACAGAAACCAGAGAGCCCTAAACCAGCCCAGGCTGGCAGGGACACTCAAAACCCACCTGGAGCATCTTTCACGGGACAGGGAGCCTGAACCAGACACAGCCACGAGGAAAGGAAACAATGATTCACTTCTAGGATGTTTGGACACTGAAACATTAGGCTTTAGCTACTATTCTGACCTTTTTTTCCCTTAAAAACCAGAAAGGCTAAAGATTTTTCAAACAAGGTTTCAAGGTCCACCTGAAAAATGAATTCCCATTGAACTGCAGTGAGTCTTTACAGTTATAAATAAAACACCAACAGAAAAAGTTTCAGGGCCTTGAGGATACTTATTTCAATTTGTGCTGCCTCTAGACTGGGATAGAATTTCACACATTAAAGGTCTCTACTCTATCAGAACACAGAATTAATTGACACCATTTTTCCTCCCAAAATAAATTTCAAGTCCATTCTGTTATTTCTTTGTATCCCTTTGCAGTCCTGCACTGAGCTGCTACCAAAGCAAAGTGAAAGGAAGGGTTTGAATGCTTAATTTTGTTTCCCCTCCTCTTACCTCTTTCTGCCACTTCAGTGTATGAGGAGGTCCTGGAGAGCTGACTTTGCAAGCGTTCTATCTCTGCATCCTTGAGAGCCAGTTGCTCCTGCAGCTGGGCTATCTCAGCCTGAAAAACAGCACAGAAAAGTCAGAATTACTTCCACACCCATTCTCTGTGAGTCTTTCCCAGGAGCTAGAAGATGTCTGAGTGTATTGAGGTCAGAATACTTCACAAACACTAGAACAACCTATTTATGCTGCTATTGCTGTTAGAGAAACTCATTTTTCCCCATTCAGTAATCTCTTGGAGAAGACAGATGCAAAGAAATGGAAAATTTTCAAGGGTTTATGTAGGTGAGGAAACTATGGAAAGCTCTCAATGCTACAGAGTTTGTCATGTAATAATAATGACTGCTATAGGGAACTCAAACTTTGCATGAAGATCTCTAAAAAGTATCAAAGGATGTTTAAGCACATATTGGTTCTTTTCAATCCTAATTATAAAATCTAGAACTATATTTTATATATTTAAGCATTATAAATTGTAAATAATCCTATACTAAAAAGGATATACCAAAAAGCATAACTTATTAGTTAACTGAGAATCTGTTAATGCTGAGCTCTCTCAGCAACATAACAAAACTGGTTTTCCTCAAAACAGCAAATAGGATAGAAGGAGAGCATGGCCTGGAAAACAACCACACACATGCAACAAAATACCAGTGTTCATTTACATTTACTGGAAATTTAGGGCTGCCACTAGATTTGGATAGAAAATCCAACGTGAAAGAGCTCAACAAGACAGAGGGAGAAGAATTCTGTGATTGTCCAGCTTGAAATGCAGTGATTCTAATCTGGTTTTTGTATTGATGAGAAAGTAAAATATGCTGTGAGCAGTTTAAGTCAGCAGTTTAAAAATATTTTCTTCAGAGGTCTCAAAACTTCTGTGTGTCAACATTCTGCATTTCCCCTGCAAAAGCACATCAAGCCTCCTTGCAGATAAAAGCCAAAAAAAAGGGAGGGGGGGGTAAAGGAAGAAGAAAGGAAAGAGGACTAAAAAAAATCATGAATGCAACCAGTTTCTCAAAACACTAAAATAAAGCAGGAAAGATGCAAAACAACATTATCCAAATAGGGAGAAACACAGATTAATTAACACAAAAACTTATTTTCACCAGGAAGCAAGTGGCTGGATTGCAGGAAAACATCACCACTCTGCCCAAAATTCCACGTGGAATAGAAGAATCTGCCTTGCTGCTTCTCTGAAGGGCTCCTACACTTCCCACTGACTAATGTGCTTTTTATATCCACCCATGGATAGATTCCAATTTCTCATCCAAGAAGCTGCAACAACAGGAAGACAAAAGCTTGCAGACCTCTTAATACCAGATCTGGATTTGCCTCCCCTGGTCTACTTGATCTCAGAGCTCTTTTAAAAGCTCTCTTTTCCCTTCATCTCTAATTCCTGTCATCTGTGATTATTTTTCTGCTTCCTCTCTCTTTTCTTGTACTTTTCTTCCTTTCCAGTCCAGCATCTTCTCTCCCTCAGTGGGTTTTATGATTCTTCTTTCCTATTTTCCTTCTGGTCCTTCATTTTCCATAATTTCTATCTGTCTTGGCAGCTGGCCACACACTGCTTGAGAAAATATTTTCCCAAAGACTGTTCATCTCCACCATTTCAGAGAAAACATTTCCATGGATTGAAGAACTATTATCTTAATGAGAAAAAAGACATGACAGCAACATTCTGTAATTCATCCAAGAATTCTCAGAAGAATGAAATGCTAATACAAATAATAGCTGTCTGTCATGTCTGGATCAGGATTAAATAGAAAATTCAGTTTAATAATTTGAAATGTTTCTCCAAGATTCAGCCACAACTCAAGAGTCAGTCATTCATATCAACAGGGATTATTCCACAAATGAAAGGACATGTGATTACAGGACAAGAAGGAAAAATCATATGGTGCTTTTTAATTTAGTGGAAAAGGGCTAAAAATTCAAACTAGAAATAAGAGAATGCTCCACTAGAAAAATTAATTACTAATTAATTACTGGGGAAAATGATTAAATGTTTCACATGTAAAGTTTCTCCATATTATGACCCAAGAGCTTTGCAGGATTTAATGTCAATAGAAGTGTAAGTGTGATACACACTAAGTCAAAGATGAGCTAATGGTGGATTTTGGGTTTAATGTCTACAAAAACAAATTCCATAGTAAACAAACACCCAACAAACTTTGCATGTCTCCTCAGGCTGGAAAGTACATCCCACTTGGGTTTGTCATTACAAATCAAGGCCAGGAAGCCCTCAAAGAGTCTTTACTCTGGGCAGCTCTTTGCAAGTCAAAATGCCTTTTGTGGTTCCCTAAAATAAGAATTCCAAAAAGCACCAGACTGAAAACTGCATGGAGGGAGCAAAAGGCACAAAGAAAGGTACACCACCTTCAAACCAAGATATTGATTCCAAAGATGGTTAGAGAAAACTCCACTTCATAGCTACCCTGGCACAAGGTAAACGTCAGAAAAGCAAATATTGATGGGATGTGCAGCATATCCCTTCCCAGCTGATGGAGGCCTGTCATTAGAAAATGCCAAGGACTCTGCTTACTTTCGTTGCTTTCAATTTCCACTCATACTGATTTCTTTCGTTTTCCAGTTCTTCCACTTTAATTTTGAGGTGCCTGAGTTCCTGTAACAAACCCTGCAGAGGAAGGAGGAGATTAAAGGTAAGGTTTTTCTGGCAGATATTAATTTTTCACAGCACTGAATTACAGATCATGCACGAGCCACACAGTATTCAACACTGAACCACCACTAAAAACTGAGACCTGCTCCAGGAGGCTGTCCCTTAAATGTCCCTTCTCCCATTCCTTGATAGAATTGCATCTTGCTCATTCTAAAGGACAGTATTATTAAAACCTCCATGGAGCTCTGACAAGACAAAATATCTTAAAATGAACTGAAGAAAGGAAAATTTGGAGGAATGACCCAGTTCTGGACTCCTGTGCAGTGTATACATTAAGCACCACACCAGCATCCTGGATTACATTAAGACTGATTTGGAATGACTCCCAGATTTGACCCTCAGATTATTTCTCCAACCTACAGGTTGTAGTTCTCATAGTCCATTAAGCAGTTCTGCACAAAAGCAAGCCCAGAAAGAGCAGCACTCTTTCCAAAATAGGTCTAACACACAAAATATTTATTTTTATAACATAAAACCTATGAGAGAAATTACTGAATAACTCCCTCACAATACAAGCAGATTACTTATGAGTTCTGGGCATACAAATTTTGATCAAAGAGATGTGGCAACAACCTGATTTGAAACCAAACATTACAATGTTTTTTTCTAAGCATACCAGTATCATTCCACCTTCAGTGAAATGAAGCCATTTATGCAAAGCAGCTTTTGTTTTGCCACGTGACATATTTTTGATCAAATACAACCAGGCTCTGTTATGTAAATTCTGGTACCTGCTAACGTCAGGGAATAAACAAAGTGGTGTTGGATTTGCTCTTTTAAAAGTACAAGCAGATTATTTTTATTATGGCTCTTTTCAATAGAAAAAGAAAGGGTGGATGCCAGAGAGTCTCAGCTGAAATTATTTGATGCCTGTGTTAAGCTTTTAAGATACCCAGGAATCAATAATCTGTGTTCAGAGGAGCTGGGGTGGCATCACCATGAGGAAAAATAACAAACTACCAAACCATGCCAGCATGCTGCACATCAGACAAATCTCAACCCCCAGATCCAAAAACCCACACCCCACCAGCACCACAGACTTACAAGTGGAATGGAAACTGTGACAAGTCTGAAAGGGGTGACTGGATTTTACAGATTTCTGTGCTTTAGTAGGCAGCCAGCAATGGTGACCAGATTTGTCCCAGTAATTGGGCTGCAGAGTCTGGGGTCGGATTTTTTTTTTTTTTCCCCTGGTCATTTTTTATGGCATTCTCACTCTTTGCTAATGAAAGCCACGAAGATTAATGCCAAAACATTGCCAAGGCAGCTGTGGTTAGTGGAATTTAGTTTGTGCAAGAGAGAGAAGAGGCAAAGCAGAGGCTTCTGGTGCTTCTCATACTTCACACTGAGAACAATTCTTCTGGCCCAGAGGCTCTACTGATCTTGCACCAGATTGAGGACCATTAGGGACCAAGTCTGCTTTCCTATCTTGAGACTTTCTTTCCTGGATCCTACTATTAATTTCCAGCTGCAGTCTACACATCTGCTCCTGTAGGTCACTGATCAGGTTCACTACTGACTGAAAACATGGGAGGACAGGGAAAAAAAAAAGACAAAAAAATAGAAAGGTGAGAGAAAAAAATGATGCAAAGAATATATTTCTACAGTTGCAGCACAAAGAACTATGTGAAGCACATCAAAGGCAAGCTTAAAAAAGACAGATTATATATTTCCTTTCTGATGAAGCAGATGTAAATGAGTATAAACCTGGAATATTGCACAAAGCCACAGTTTACATGGAACAGAATCTACATTCCAGACTAATTCATGATTCTGAGTCTAAAGTTAAGATCAGAAACTTTTTTTGGAAGGTTTTACAGTTATGTGAGGGACAATTTGGAACCTATTTTAATATACTGGCTCAGAGGTACACTTTTGCTGAAATGGGACTTGATTGCATTCATTTGCACCTCCAGATCATCCAGCAGGAAGAAAGTGCAAAGTGCTCAGCTGGGGCCATAGCCTGCTCTTTTATAATTTATACACAAAATTTACTAGCAAAGTAACTCTGTTTGCAGGTCCAGCATGGGGCAGAAATAATTCCATGACCTCTCTGTCTGGGCAGGATCTTGACATGGAGGAGGAGTGAAGCAAAAGATGCAGGAGAAATCAGGAGGATAGCACAGAAGAAAAAGTAATTGTTTTAAAGTGCACCAGTTTGCTGGTCAGCTTCTTGGATTTGTGTCTATCAGTGATACACATACACACAAATCCAGCTTAGAAAATAAACCAAAGTCAGGTATGAAAATGTATATGGTATTTCACCTGAATTCCCCACTCTGTAGCAAAGAGCAGTGAGCCTATTTCCAGCTATCACAGGTTTCAAGTTTCTTTCTCTTAGCTTTCAAGTACTTTAATAACACAAGTTTTGTGGTTTCTCAATCTTCTCAAGTAAGTAATAAATTTGAGGAGTTTAATCCACGTTCCAAAGGAGAGAAAAATATTTCAGTGGACAGAACAACAGATGACGTGGCAAATAATTTTTTGTTATTATTTTCTTCATTAGAGTTGCCAACAATCCTCCTGCAACCTCAACTCTGCAGTAAAATCAGGAGTCTCAGAGCTGGGGAACAGCAAGGACAGGGCAGTAACAGCATCCACAGTCAACTCTAAACATTCACAAAGATTTACCTGACTCATATAGAAGAGTTTCACACATTTGAGTATTTTCTAGCTCACAGTATTAAGATGAAATTCAGAAAAGCCATTACATACATTTTACTTCATACATGTGATGCTCAATCAGGATCACAATGTCTGATGCTCACCCTCTTCCACCCACCAAACCTTCAATGGACATAAATGAGGATTAGGTTTGATTTTTTACCACCCTCTCCACAGTCAGGTACCTCCCAGAGCAGCTCCAGCTGGGGACTGGACCTGGCAGGAACATTTATGAACACCAACTCCAACACCTTGGTTCAGATGAGGCAGCACACAGACTCCCCAGAGGGAGTCAGTGCCTCACTGACTCAGGTTTCTTTGGAATTGCAAGCAGCTTTGCACCAGATATTTAATTCAGAAGTTACAAGAGCCACAAAAAGCTTGCCAGCAGCTGACAGCCAAACCCAGAGGCTTCTCCCACACCACAAAAGGAAGAAGGAGGACAGACAGAAAGTCTCTTTTGTCCATGTTCAGGTAGAGCAGCCATGAATCTTTTGACAATGCTGCTTCCTCATACCTTGCTACATTAAAAAAAACACATTTTCAAAATTTCTGTGGCTTCTCAGCTACAGAACCCCCTTAGGTGAGACTCCAGAAACCTTCACTGTGTCAAAAGTAGGACATTATTCCCCAGAAAAGGAATTAGAATGACAAAGCCAGGAGTCAGATAGTCCATGTAAAAGCAGCTATTCTCCTGGCCCCTCTGTAATATATATAAATAAATGGCACTTTATATTTAGTATGTGCTTTTGAAGAGCCAGAGACAAGTGGCATTCAGTGTGAAATCAATACCTTTGAGAGGAGGTTACAGATGCTTGATAAACTCCTTGCTGCTCACTAAAACCAAACCTAAATGACAGCTGCACAAGATAAAGTGAAACCAATCTTGCATATTAAAACTCACTCATATTTAGAAGGGTGCCTTAATTTGCTTTCTTTCCTCCCAGCCCAACCAGAAGAACAATTCTGTAGATGAATTCTAAGTGTCTGGAAACAGCTGCTGTGAAATAAGCTGACACAAAATTAGAATAGAGAGAAAACGTGGTTGAGCTACAATGATCCTGCAATGCCACATTTAATTTTAAACTTTTTAAACCCCATTATTATATTTAGAAATAGCAGGGTCGGCCGTGAAGCATCACGAACAAGCTGTTTAAAATGGTTTACATGCTGGATGCCAAAACCAACAGGAAACTACAGGTAGGCTGGTTTTTGTTGGTTTTTTGGTTTGGTTTCTTCATTAGAAAGATGTAGTTGGGCAGTGGAAGCAAAGAGTTCAGGAAAACACTCAAAATATTACCAAGTTTAAGCAGCTGTAGTCAAATAATGTAAAGAACATTGATACATTTCATTCTGATGTTTGAAATTGTGTCTGTGTTGAAGAATTACTATAATTTACAGGAAAAGGAGGAGAAATAGGGTCAAAGCATTAGAGTTCAACTAAGCATCCAATTTGATTGAAAGCAGCTCCTGATAAATTTGATTAATGCCTGTTCAGGAGAATCTGAAATAAATACACAAATAGCTCAACAAGCAAACCAAAAATGCTTTGAAAAATCTTTCCTTTTACAGCACCCATTTTCCTTGCTCTTCACACACCAAAGTTTGTGACTTTCAACACACCAGAAACCTAATCACACCTTGGGGTAGTTAATAATTCAGCACACACCCAACACAGCGATTCCAAACTTTTCCATCAGGTTAGAATCCTGTTTTCCATCTCAGCAGGAGCGTGTCCTGTCACTGAGCAGCACCACGAAGGCATCCAGGCTGTTCCAGCTCAGCTTTTCCACACACACCTCCCTGCAGCAGCAGAATCTCACAGCTCCCAAGCACTCAGGAGTCCTGTCCATAAAAAATGCACTCAAAAATCTTCTCTGCTTTCCAGGAGCCAGGCTGGCTGTGTGTGCCCTGCAGTAATCCAGGCATCCTCCTCCCTGTCTTCCACACGTCATGGGGAGCACTGGGAGCACCACCTGCAGCCATCAGGTGTGCTCAGACCTGCTCAGGTTTTCAGTGCTCAATCCCTCTGTGCACAAGGCACTGGCAATTATGCCTGGAAGGGCACAAGAAATGCCACAGGTGGTAAAAAACAGCAGCTGGTGCCTCTCTGGCTTGCAAGCTCTGCCAGAAATTGCTCTCTTTATGTTATCTTTGAATCTCTAAAGAAAACTTCAGAGAATAAATAAGTTGAAAGCAAACACACCCCAAGTGAGCATGAGCCACGTCACTGCAGGCAAAGTACTCATGCATAGTTATCAGCCATTCCACTAGCAGAGCTATGGAGAGCAAACAGTTCCAAATGCTGCTTGGATTTCAAATTCTCCTAAGTCAATATGGAACAAAGTTTGGGTTTTTAATGCTTTTTTCCAGTCAGCAATGCATAAATCTCAGACCCAGCACTCCTTCCTTTCCAGGCAGTCCTCTCCTGCTAGCTTAGCTGGTCCCCTTACAGGACCATTGAGTAGGGCAACACATGGCAGTTTGTATGAATTTATTCCACAATTGCTTTCCTTCCCAGCTCCCACCTGCTGCTCACCATGATATGGATGTTGCTCAGATGAATTCCCTGTTTCATACTCTGCCTTAACCAATACACAAAATCCCCAAAGCTCCTTTGATGTCCAGAACTCTCCACATCTGAAAGGGAGTAAGGGCTGGAATTGCCTCCAACCCAGGATTTTTTTTTTGCACTATTTATTATGTAGCCACAAGGGGAAAGACACATTTGAGGCAAATGCCCTCCCAAGTGCCACAAACACATTAAAATCCCTGCTCTCAGTCCTTGTGGCAGCCCTGACACTGAGCTCAGTCTTTTCTGCCACAAAAACGAGGGAAGAGCTCTGCTAAGCCTGGCACAGCCATGCCAGCCCAGCTGCCAGGGAAAGGAAAGGGTTAAGTGAACACCCACTGCAATAAATGCTTCTGGAAAAGACTTGGCCTTGATGAGAGCCAAACAGCAACCTCTGAAGTATAATGAGAGAAAGGAAAAGAAACCGCATCCCGAAAATGCAGAAGCACACTGAATTCACAGGATCAGCGATCCGGGCTGGGCTGCAAGCACGGAAAATCATGTTCCCTGCTGGTTCCAGCACAAAGCTCAGGTGGGTGACAGCACACCAGAGACACGGGATGGAAAAAAAAATTAAAACAAGGTAATGAAAAAAACTCACCTCGGCTTTGTTCTGTTTCTCTTCATATTCACTCTGCTCCTTTTCCATACCAACCAGCTTAATCTTCAGGTCTGAAACTTCAGCCATCAGATCCAATTTCTGAGTCTCGAGCGATGTGCGACTTAGCAGCTCCTGAAAGCAAAGCAGAATATTCCCCCAGTTATTTATGTGAGCACTGACAGACTGCCATGTGTTTTATTGGCAGGCCCATATTAAATCCTCAGTTTGAGCCTCAGTGTTTTTCTCAAGTGCTGCAGTTATTTTTGTCTAAGTGTTCTGTGTTAATCACCAAACCACCGTGTCCCTATTTCTCCTTATTTTATTTCTCCGTGTCCCTGTGTCTCCTTATTTCAAGCAAATGTATGGCAAAGTTAATCCCTGGGCTAGACATGAAATCCAAAACAATACTCAGGCTGAAGAGACACAAACCTACACAATGGCACATTACAAAAGAGTTGGTGCCTTCCTAAAGCACTCCTCAGCCAAAGCCATGCTTTAGGATTACCTTGTACACCTTCTTGTCACGTGTCATTCAATAAAGGATGTGTTGCAGAATGAGCACCTTAACCAAACTGAGCAGCAGAGGCAACACCTCTGCAGTTACAGCAATAATTAGTAACTTACACCATGGAGTACATTAATGCTTTTGAAGGCTGCACAGCGTGGAGGGAACTGTGAATGAAATGTCCTAACTGGAGCCTAAAAGGCAATGTCTAAACTAAGAAACTCTGTGAAGGAGAAACAACTGCTCATGGCTTTTGCTTGTGTGCCCCAAGCTGGTTTTCCAGATTGCAGAGTAGACACGCTTAGGATGGACACACATCCATCACATCACTGTGTCTGGAGAATGGTCAACACTCACATCTCCACTGAATCTTCCATTTTTCAGGAAAGCCAAGGCAAGAAACCATTCAAAATTTATCAGAGTATATTACATACATCAAGTGCCTCTGCCACCCCTGTTTTCAAAAGGAAAAAAGTCCAATCAGGAGTTTAAGCCTCACTGAAAAATTCATACTTAGTTTACCAGGCACCAAATCAATTTTTAACAAAAGAATGTAGGCTTCCAAATGGTTAAAAGATTTTGTGATAATTCATAAATCCCATTAGCGTGTTGATCACGTGGATCACACTGAGGAATCACAGCAGTGCTTTGAATTGCATGGATTAATATGATTTAAGTGAAGTTGCCATAATTAATCTGGCTCTACGCTGATGTTATTGAGGGATCAGAAATCACCACATCCATCACCCTTTTCTCATCTCTTCCTCTGTCTGCCCCAAACTGTACACTACACTGCAGACCATGGCTTGGAGAATGCCACAAAGGTTATTTCAAAGATTACAGAGTTAAAGTTTATTTCAAAATCTCCTCTGCATGTAAGTTGTTTTAGTCTGGTGGGGAATATTGCACAAATTAAAAATAGTACTAAACTTGCATCTATATTGCAACACCAATTATCCAAGCCACCCACTATTCCCAATGCCATGCCCATTCCTGCTGACATTGGCAATGATATTTGTGGATGGATGGGAAAATAAACAGAAATGTAGCCTCATGGTTTTGGCCCTTTTCTTTTTTTTTCTCCTCAGAATGAAATAAATCAAGCACTAATCAGGGAAAGATATTGCACTGACTTTCTTATTGAGAAACTCCAAGAGGCAGTCACTTAATGAAATACCAGGAGGAGCTGCTTTCTACATAGGTGATTAAAAATTACAATTATAATTGCAAATAACTCCTCTGTCTTCCAGAAAAACTCTAATTTGCAGTAGTTTCAGAGGCACATCCCAGTCCAGACTGGAGCAGGCTCTGCACAGCAGTTAAGGTAGCAGACTGCTGCAGGTTAAACCAGAGTTAAAAGTGGGAGCTTCGATATGAAATAAGGCCACTGAACATCAGAAAGAAGAGCAGGATGAGGCAACTCTGGCCCCATCGACAGATTCTATTCACTCTTGAGCTAAAACAACATTTAGAACTTTTTTGGACACTGACATGGTTTTCCATGATATGGGAAGAAGATTTCTTAATAAGGCAAGGAACCACAGCATCCCTCTAGGGATTTTAAACAAAAGATCTATCCTTTGAGTGCACCATCTGGCATTACTCCTTATTTTTCCTCCAGAGCCCTAAATTACCCTCAGTTATGCAGTGGAGAGCAATCCACACTCACTCCTCTCATCCCAGGAGCTCTGTGTGAGCATGGAGCCACTACCTGCTCCAAGTGAGCACGAAGGCAGCTCTTTGGGTTTGTTTAGTCTTTAATCAGCTCAAGCAAAATTTTACCATTTGCTCTGAAGCTGGGGAGTCAGATATTCTCAGCTGGAGCAAACTGGCATAAACCTCCTGACTTAAAACAGGCAGAGCAGCTAACTAGCCCTGGTTTGTTTTCAATGGAGCTCCACTGATTTAAAACAGCTGATAATTCCTCTTGCATCCAGAGGACCCAACTTTTGCTTTGAAAGCAAGTGCCGTTTGAAGTAAATGTCTCCTCTTGTAAGGGAACATCTGGAAGCAATTATTTTCATCTTCAAGCAGATGCTCACAGTGAACAGCTCATTAAGAATGTGAACCATTTTGTTACAGAGAAATTATAGTGTATTTCAGTGGTATGATGCAACTTGAATTCGGCCAGAATAAATATGCAATTGTAAGAAAAGAAAATACAAATTTATGTTTTTGGTTTCAAAGCAAAAAAAAAAAAAAAAAGATAATATAAGACAGGCAAAATGGTAATTTAGGCTGTGGCAGCTTTAGGAGAATCTTAGCTGAAAAATAGAACAGATATAGAACATATGCTAGGGAGTCTTCTTTAGAAACAAGATACCTGTTTTTAGTTTCAAAATGTACTATGAATTATACTATGTGAGTGTAATTTACCTTCTTAAAGTTCTTTTTCTAAACTCAACTTTTAACTTTTAAAATTGAGGAGGCATGCAGAAGCAATGATGCACACGTATCAGACAGATCAAAGAACAGCAAACCATTTCCAAAAACAACACGCTTTTTAAAACTCACACTGCATATTTCTAAAGTACTTAATCAACTTTTCCAATATTCCCATTGAAGCTGCAGCACATGCTGCATATCTCACTCTCACATTTAGTTGTCTTGGAAAGATATAATTCTTATAAAACAGTTTATAAAATCTAACATGACAAAAATAGCTTGAAAAGAGGACACCACAACTTTTTAGGCTCTCAGCTGCAAGCACAGAAAATTCCAGGATATTAAGCTCTCCACAAAACAGAAGAAACAATCATGCCATACACTGATTGAGAAAACATAAGTGAGATTTTAGTCAAGTGAGGAGGGGAAAAAAAACAACCAACCCAAAGATCCCATTTTGCACTTGCGTGCCGTACAAAATACAACATTTGAAAAATTCTTTACTTTTCACCCTTATTAAAAGCCTTGAGAGAGACAGACAGACCAAGCTACCTACCTGGGAAGCAAAATCCAGCCAGAAGCAGCCCCAATGAGGGCTGCACTGCTCGAGTGCTGTGTGTCAGAAATAAGATATTTGCTTAGCTGGAGACACAGCTGAGAGCCATGGACGTGTGCACTCACCATGACACGGTGCAGGGCAGGGAATTACAGCCCTCCACTGCATCCTTTGCCCATTTTATGGTTAGGGCAGGGAAAGGACAGAGCTGCCCACAGCCCTGCCAGCTCGAGCAGCCCTTGGAGCAGATTCCTGCCCACGTTTACTGCAGAGGAGCAAAGCACTGGAATGCTCACCTGGAGAGATAAAGCTCTGAAAAACCTTAGAGCTCAACCAGAGCAGCACAGAGCACACTTCAAAATCTGAAACACTGAGCCAGCTGCTGGCAAGAAGCTCCTGCATGCTATAAACAAGTGCTGAAATTCATCTAAGATCAGATAACTCAGGCAACTGAAAGTTGAAGGAATGGTCTTTGCCAGCCAGCAGAGTTCCTGAGGAGCAAACATACACACCAGATTTATACCCTGCAACCAAAACAGGATTCTGGCTCCCCTGAGCAGGAGACAACTGCAAAACCAGAGCAGGTACACGCTGAGCAGTGGTGGATTCAAGCTCCTGCTCTGATTCAGCTCCCCTCTGCGTTTTTTTAATCCAGTTTTTTAAAAGGTTCCCCACGGTCTGGCACACCTTCCCCGGGTCCTGCACCCAGACAAAAGTGGGCCATAAACTGACACGAGAACAGAGATCCACTCCTGTTTACACCCAAACATTTCAGGTTTTATGTGTACTTTTTTAAGACACCAAGTCCCTGGTACTTGTCAAGAGAATTCACTGGATTGAAGACACAATTGTGTTCACACAACAAAACTATCCAACAAGAGTCCCCTAGACGATGTCAGAAATCATTTGGAAGGCACAAAGACATGGTCAGACCACGAGTGGGATTTGGTTCAGGTCAGGTACAGGAAGGACCCTGCCACCCAGACCAGAGCTGCCCTTGGCAAAGCAAACTGCTGTCCCTTATGCCAGAGAGCTTCCATGGAAATTACGATTTCTTAAATAAATAAAGTGCAGCTCTGGAGTAGTCAAGAGGCAACAAACTAGAATTACTCATGATAATTACCAACAAATGCACACAAAGGCACCGTGGAGGTGAAATCTGAGTGTGCAGAAGTGTATATTCATTTTTCAGATGGACATGGCACAGCTGTTGATCTGACACCACAGATTCCACAGCACTCCTGTGTTTACATTAGGCATGGCTGGTGCTTCTGTTATGGGGCAGTTTATAGAGCTACTTAATAGAGCAAAAATTACTTCTGCTTTCCAATTCTACAGCAGGTAGAGAGGAGATTCCCCCAAGGCCCTCTCTCCTCCAAAAAAAAAAATAAAAATTCTTTCCTAAAATTATCTGGAAGAAAAATTTGTGGCAGTTACTTAGTAGTGCCACAAAGAAACTTGGAACAAGAGACACACACACATCATTGCTCTGTAGAATTGGCTGTAACTTTACAATTTAAAGCAGTTGAAATGGACTGTCACAGCATAAATTTTTTCCTAGGATAATTCTAGGAGGTTTTTTAACCTTGATTCTAAACATCTCCATTACAATGTGCTAAGGGGAAAGTCAGGTAGCTTTTCACACGGGCCAGCCCTTCCACAGCCTTCACACATTCAGTAGCAGGACAGACACCCCACTGGAAGGTAATTCCAGGACATTAAATGTGTGTCTTGCTCCAGTCATGCTCCAGAAAATTTTCTGTTAGCATTTTCTATGAAGGATGACCTTGCTTCTTGGCCCAAACCTGAGTTAGACTTAAGGACTGAATTAAAGTTTTGCCATTGACTTTCATGAGTTTTGCAAAGGCCTGCTTCATTTCTTTTGAAGGAAGAAAGCACAGACACCAAGGTGGAAAAAGATTTTTCTTCATTACAATCTGGTGGTGAAAGAAGTGTCCTTACAAAAGTAAAATATTGGGTTTGATGCCACAAGCATCACATTCTGTGTAACTGTGCACACCAGGGCACCTCTGTGTTTCTCACACAGGATCCTCTCATTGCCCAAATGTTGCTGGGCTGGATTTTCCTTGGCAGTGCTCCCATGAACAGTGAGGTCAAAGCACATCTCTGCATTGCCCTTCTGCCACACCTTGGCCTTTGCTGTGAGCTGTTTGACTCAGCCATCACAAAACCATCCCTTCCTTCCCAACCTGAGCATGACAGTCCCAAATCAGCTGCAAAGGAACACGGGCAGGAGGAGGGAGAAGAATGAAAGGAGAACCCAACCTTCTCCTCTGCTGCTGCTACTCCAAATTCAGGATGCCCACCCAAAATTCTGAACAGCCACTTTATGTTATTTGTGTGACTTTGACTTCAGTTGCTGTTTCAGAAGTGGTTCCGTGATCCCTTTGTAGCAGGGTTCAAAACAACTGTGCATAAATCGTAAGTCAGAAGGATTTTTTGCCAGTAACCCCACCCTGCCAAAGAGGACAAGTCTCTACTAGCACAGATTCAGCAAAAACTACTTTGCAGGGTAGCATTAGACACCCTTTCTGCTGTGGAACTTCCAGCTACCATCATTAGGTTATCTTAAAGCTTCTAATTTTTTTTTATTGAAGCATTTTTTGCACAGAATTAATGATGAGTCACTCTTCCTATAGTTCTCAAAATTAAAAAGACAAGGCTTTATCTTTATTGTTCCATTTTCCACTTAGAGGAAGCAGCTGGCTTAAGTTCACAAAGGTAAAAATCAGTGGAGCTCAATACATTGTAAATAAGGAAGCAGAACCATGAAATAAACCTGAATTTACACTACAGCCCTTCCTAAGAGGGTAACAGAAGTCATTCTGAAGAGCAGGACAGCAGCAGCAGCTGGATGAGGAGATCTGAACCCAACTCTCCTCAAAACCTGACTGATCCATCTCTTTAAGCCCCTGAGGCCACACTCACTCTACTTTTGACAATTTATCTGCAGAAAAGTCCACTGGCCACATATCTTACATGAATGTCATAATCACCACATGATCAGGTCATTCTCTTCTCCCCAAATCTCAACTCATCCCCTATAGGGGATAATCTTTACAACAAAATGAATTGAGAAGAGAACCTTCAAAACAAATGATATTAAATAGGCTCCTGTGCTGAGACAACAAATGCACAACTTCTCTGACTGCTGAGAGATCCAACTTGGGTTTCCCATATCCCACAGTCTGCTGGGACAAGCAACAACTACAGCTGCTCAAAGTTATCCCAAAATTTAGATTTAAGGCTTTTTCTTTTTTTAGACATATCTGGAGATTCTCTGGCCTCTTTAGCTTTGGTACAGCCTTTTGTGGTTTATCACCTTAGGATCAGCTTTGTAAGCAATTCGTGTCCGTGCCTAATGCCAGACAGGCACATGCAAACATTTTCACTGAAATGGCAATGCTCATGCAACATTATATTCTATTTTCAGATGCTTCAGTGTTCTGGGAAATAAGGCCTTAAATTCAGTTTCCTCACAAGACTATGTGGGCAAAAAAATTTAAGTCAGAGAAAGAATAAACAGTTTTAGCAGAAGTCACAGAACAACTGCCCAGCTTTATACTGGAGCAGGAGGCCTCTGCACTCTGTTGTGAATGCCTTCCTGGAGGCTGAAAACAGATTTTCACAACTTAAATAATCACTGTTCTTTGAGTTTCACCTCAGATCTCACTGGAAAACTGCATGCACTCACTGTTTGCATTTCTAAAGACACCCCCTCAGAATACAGACTTTCCCAGCTGGAAACATTTTGGGCTGTGTGAGATGGAAGGTTTTCTTCAAGAACCACTGGGAATTATAATTTAAAATGTTTAGGATACAATTTTATCTTATAGAAACTGCTGCTATTTACATACATATGCACAAGGATGCTTACCATAATTTAAAGCTATGATCAGTTCTTAAAAAGGTTTGTGTATCTCACATGGACTAAAATAACAAATTTATAACACAAAATATTTGTGTGGGGAGAAGAACTAGACTCATCGAGAACAGTATCTATCCTAAACATTTCTGGCTTAGATTTTTGAGGCTTATTTACAGTTTCAAATCTATTTTTGGTATCTATGTACTGCATTAACAGTGGATGATCTGCATCTGTAACAGAAAACTGCACAGGGAAAGAACTTTGGCATCAACAGACCTGTAAGTTCTGCAAGGTATTTAATTTATAATTTGTTCTGCTCCCTCAACATAGAACATCAAACAGCACAAATTAAATCACGTAGTCTGAAACTGTTGATTGAAATAAAGGAAAAATGTCTTTATATACTAATTTTCTTATATCAAAATAAGGTGAAGCTCTGAAGTTAAGCAAAAATAGTTCTAGGACAGAGCTTGATACAGTAATTCATTTCAAATTGCTGCTTGTTCAACTTCAAAGCCATAGGAAAACAGAAGGCATTTAAATAAAACTTCTTAATTCTATAACTCTTCCATGTATTAGATACATTTAACCTGTCTAACCAGTTACTCAGCCATGTCCAAATAAGCACAGTTCAAATAAGACACAATAGATTCATTTCACATGCTGCCACGTACAGCATTATGCAACCAGCCAGTAAAACTTTTCTGCAACAGGAAAACAAAGAAACATTTATTGGGGGGGGGGGGGGGGAAAGGGCAAAGCAGTAGGAGAACAATAAAAAAAGCTTTTTTTTTTTCTCCCTGTTTTATCCCGTTGCCAAAAGCAGTCACACATGCAGACAGGCTGACCATGTGTGCTCACATGCTGGAGAAGGTCGTGCAGGAAGCTCTGCAGCCCAGAGTTTTACCTGTTGGAGCATTTCTTCTGTAGCATTCAGCTTCAACTGATGCCCCTCCAGACAGATTTCCAAGTCCCGGATTTTCTCTCCTTGAGCTTCCACCTGGTCTGTGAGAACACTCACCTGTAATTTGAGAGGAGAAGCACAGTGCTACTGAACTGACTGTAAATAAGTTCCAATTACCTTATGCATGTAACATCCAAATGCACGTTTTGACAAGAAGTTGCCTTTTAAAGCCCTCAATGCTTTAATATTCCTGTGCACTGCAGCAACCTGCTCTACCAAGACACAGAGTTTTGCAGCCTTACCTCTATTTTGCTCCAACCCCGCCCTCTCATCTCCCCTCCCCTGCAACTCTTGTGTTTTGATATAAAAAAAGAAAGGGCATTTCAAGAAGGGATGGAATGCTACCTATAGGTAAGCCTGGGTCCCTTCATACAAAAGTCTGGACAATTGGAAAGGAGCAAGCAAGAGCAGAGGATACTGGAAATATTTTAGGTGGTTTTGGAGAATGCATCGCCATTTCGGGTTCTGCTGGCATTTCACTCCCTAAAACAGGTAAGTAGGAAAACTGTTCATTCCCAACCCAACCAACTGCTTCTCACAAGAGCAAAACTTTATTGACAGCTTACCTGTGTATAGCTATAAAGAATGCCATGAGTAAAAGGCAAGTTTTAGCTGCGCCAAAGTTCTATTCCAACAAAAATTCCCAGGCTTTGGCAAGCCAAAACATGAAAGCAAATGCAGGGAGATACAGACAATGAACCCCAGGAAAAGAAAAAATAAGCAATCCTGGTAAAGAACTGTGGGAATGGTGGTACAGAGAAGTGAGTGTGCAATCAAAAAGCCCAGCAGCTTGAACTCAAATCTTGCAAAGCAGGAAAAACTGCACCCAGGAAAACAGTAGAAATATATAGAAAAACCCAGTGATAATTCTTATGTTTAGAAGAACATACACTCTATACATTCATTTTGACTATTTAGTTCTATAAAAGCCTTGATTATTCTAGAAAAATATTATCTAAAACAAACAAACAAACATAGGAGCCTAAGGTGTTTAAACTCCCCTTTGAAGGAAATGCATTAACAAAAACTTATATATGCTCTTACATCCAACTCTGCAACACCTTTATTAATAAAACAAAATAAAAATGTATAGCATGTGGAAGTGAAAATTTAAGATATATCTACTAGGCAGCATGTCTAAAAACCCAATGAACAATCGAGTTCACTTCAGGGAAGCTGCACAGGGAGAGATCTGTATTTCTTTTACCTGCAGACACAAAGTCAAGCATACCTGGGAAAGAATCACAGAAAAAAAAAGAAAGAAAAATAAAAAGACTATTTAATTTTTTTTTTTCCATTAAGTAGTTGGCTGTAGCTTAGAGTGCAGCCGAACTCAGGATGAGAGGTGATAGGAAGGAGTGGGTGGAGGCAAATGGCAGAGGGACACATCCAAGCTGGGCAGGAGAACTCCCTGCAAGGAAATCTGCTGCTTGTCTGCTTTGCTTTGCTCCCATCAAATGAGGGATGATACACAAAAATCCCCACGTGAGGTCAGAAGGCATGAAGAAACAAACTGAATTCTCTCCTTCAGCGTGATGTAAGTTCCAGAGAAAGAAAACCAGCTTTATTTAGAGCATCAGGTTAGGTTTAAGTACCACTGCAACCTGGAAGGAAAACTCTGGATGTTAAATGTGACCTGCAAAGGAATTTAGTGGAAGCTTAGCAGCTTTAGAAGCATGTGTTGGGTGTTCCAGCAGCTGGGCTGAGAGGCACAGCAGCCACTTGGAGCTCGTATTTTGCCCTCTGTCCAGGATCACATCTGCCACACTCTTCAAGGAACCTGTAGGCTGCACCCAGAAAAAAATCCCAGTTCATGCTACACTGGCAATTCCATTTTAGGAGTGCAACACCTGCAAGACTCAGCCTGTAGGCAATATATTTTCTGTAAAATTGAGGGATATTGAACACTTAGCTAAAAGTCAAGTGTTAGAAAGGCTTAAGAGTCTGAGGCAAGACTGGAGTGCTCCCAGCCCCACATTCCCTCCAGATTACAGCTATGGGCCAGTCACTGGTGCAGTTCAGCATCAGCCACAGAATAGAGGAGCTGCTCCCATTCCTTCCTCATCCTTCCTGCCACAGGTCACACCCAGCAGCATCCCTAGGGCCATGGGACCTCAGCATGGGGCTTGCCTGTGCTCCTCATATCTGACTGCCTGGGCAGAAGAACTGGTGTAAACCGGGTCCTAAGCCCAGCTCCACCCTGGCATCCTTGTTGTTGTTGATGTTCATCCTCCAGGCTGAGGTTTTAGTCTATCTTATTTGCCTGGGGTTTTTGCAGTTCCACAGCGATGCTGTGCAGTGGGAAAGGAAAATACATAAATATTGACTAAGCCTTTGGGTTTGATGGGGGGTGGAAGTGATGGGAGTAAAATGCGTTTTCTAGTTCTGATTTCGCTCTATTCCTTCTAAGACAAACCCTAGGCAGGTCCCAAAACGTGTGATAAAACCCTGTTTTGTGCACATGGCTAGGCTGCATTCCTGGGTGCCTGTTTGTGTGGATGAAGAAATAGTTACTGAAAATCTGCAGGACAAAGAGAGGGAAAGCACATCCTGAGCACTCTGCAGGGATTTACCAGCACTGGCCCTGTTAGATCCTCAAAAGCTGATGCACAGGACACAGAAATGGGGGGAACAAAGGAGACCCCTCACAGGGCACCAGTTCCAGCCTCAGCTCTGCAGGGAACAGCTGGATTTGGCTCCCAATGGCCTCTTGTCCTGGGATACAATGTAAAGATGTGTCCAGAAGTATGTATTCTGTCACCATCTGTTGAAACAAAATGGGGCAGTGATCCTGATCTCTGTGGAGATATCCTCTGCTGATGAACCAGCTGTTAACCCAGCTGTTGCAGTGTTCTTGATCTTGCCCACAGCCCATCCTCCCTCCAGGAGATCTCTCCTGTTCATGGCCATGCAGTCCCAGGGCAGGGCTGATCAAATTCCAT